TTGAGGCTGACAGTCTAAGGCTTGTGCCTCCTGCCAAACCCACGAAGGTCACTGTGCCTGGAAGATGCACTGCTGAGACTCAGCTGCCCACCTCCCTATGTCTTAGAGATAAACTGTAAAAGCAACATCACCTCCGCCTCCCTGCCCTCTGCTAAGTTCTGCTTCTGTAAATTCTGCCTGCTCCCAGGCCTGGGTGAAGAACAGATAAATGTGAGAACAAACGGAGAAGCGGGGCTCAGACTCGAAGGCGACGTCTGCCGGCCCCTGGCTAGCGATAAATCCGCCTTCCCTTTGCCTCTGTGGGTCGCTCTCCTCCTTCGTCTGCTGCCCTCGACTGCCATCTCAGCAGGACTGCCCTGCTCTGGGTGAAAACTCAGTTTGGTGGGAGGAGGAGGAACTTCTCCATGCTGGCGAAAGGCCTCCCTGAGGTAGGAGGACGTAAAATCACTGGTGCCACCCTTTCTTTCTTTCTCTCTCTCTTTCTTTCTTTTTCTTTCTTTCTTCTCTCTCTCTCTCTCTCTCTCTCTTTTTGCCATGCAAGGTTTGAACCCGGGGCTCCTGCATGCTAAGCACGCACTTCACCGCTGAGTTACACCCCAGACACCGACCATCTTCAAATGACAAAAGTGGCAAATTTATGTGTTCCCCATAACCAAACCTCCTGCAAACCCTGTGCTTGACGGTGAAACGTGGGCACCATCTCTCCAAACCAAGTGAGAGCTGTGTGCCAGCCATGCTGAAAGAAGGGGCCTGGCCGGGCGGTTGTGTGGGCACCATCTCAGCGTGGTGAGTGCCACCCGTGCGCTCTGCCCTTCAGCAATGGCTGGCACATTTACTGGAATTAACTCGCTCAGCAGAGTTGCTGGCTGTAAAATCCCTGGATACAAGTCCACTCAGTTCCTGAATGGCTTGAAAATGTAACTTTGAAAAGATCAATCTTCGAATAAATGGTGGTATATCAACCAAATGGAGTGTAGTTCAACAATGATAAGAAATGAGGAGCCAGGCGCAGTGGTGCATGCCTGTAACCCCAGTACTTGAGAGGCTGAGGCAGGAGGATCTCTCGCTGTGAGTTTGAGGCCAGCCTGGACCACATAGGGAGTTCAAGACTAGCCTGAACTACACAGCGAGACCCTGTCTCAAAAAGACAAAACAAAATAAACAAAAGAAAGAGCTACCACACCACAAGAAGACGTGGAGGAAGTCCAGATGCACGTTACTAAGGCAGAGAAGCCTATCTGAGAAGCTGCCACGCTGGGCTCCACCACTGATAGCCCGGACAAGAAAAGCCAGGGACACAGGGCAGAGGAGCAGCTGCCAGGCTGGGGGAAGAGCTCAGGGCAGAGCCTGGAGAAACGGGGCAGCGTCCATGCCTGAGGCATTCACCGAGCCCCAGAGAGTGGGCGGGGGGGCCTCCCAGGAACCAGGACTCTGTTCTCTTTTTTTTTTTGGTACTGGGGATCGAACTCAGGACCTTGTGCTTTCGAGGCAGGCATGGTGCCACTGAGCTAATGCCCGGCCCTGGACTCTACTCTAATCCCCGGCCCGGTCCCCCCATCACAGGGTCGCGTGCCACAGTGTGTCATGGACAGAAACAGGAAGGGTAACCAGCCTGTACTTTTCACTACATGTTTCTGTAAAACTAAAAAGAAATCTATTCTTTAAAACTTCTATTAATTTTTTTAAAAATTATTTAATATTTAAATAATATTTATTAATTTTTAATTTTAATTTTTAATTTTATTCCTCTTTCTCTTTTTCCAGTACTGGGGGGTTGAACCCAGGAACCTCTCACTGAGCTACATCCTTAGCCCATTTTATCAATTTTTAAAATTTTGAGACAAAATCTCCGTAAGTCGCTAAGTTGCCCTGACTGGGCTTGAACTTACCACCCTCCTGCCTCAGTCCCCCAGTGCCCTGGGGTTACAGGCGGTGATACAGGCTGACCTTCGAAATGACCTGTATGTCACAAACTGTAAAGGTTCTCTGCATTATGTGGAGGCCACAAACTGGTAGTTTCAGACTGACAAGGTCTAAAGAAAGCTGAGATGCATGGGCTCTGGAATGTGGTTTTGGAAACACTGCGCATGGAGACATGAAGATGCTTGTGACAAGGGTCATGGCAGAATACTGGCCCCTAAACGGTCATCAGCAAGAGAATGGACAAGAGCGTTTGCTATGTTCACATGGCAGACAGAATGCACAGAGCTGGGAGTGGCAGCGCACACCTGTGATCCCAGAAAGCACACTGGGAGTCTGAGGCAGGGAGACTGCAGGGCCAAGCCCAGCCTGGGCAGCTCAATGATATAGAGACACTGTCTCAAGATAAAAAATTTTAAAAAGGGCTGGGGATATTGCTCAGTGCAAAGGCCCTTGGTTCAGTCCCTAGTACTGAAAAACAAACAAAAAAGAATCCCACTTACTCAGGAGGCTGAGGCAGGAGGCTAAAGTCAAGCAAGTACCGCCTGGGCAAGTTACTCAGGCCTTGTCTCAAAATGGGCTGGGATCCAAAATAGTTCATAGACCAAATCTGGCCCTCATCATTTTTATTTTATTTTTTGTATAGCCTGTGGGGTAAAAATAGCTTATTTTACTTATTCTTCTTAAAAACATTTTTTGGGGGAAGTTTCTTTGACACAGGGCCTCATTATATAGTTTAGGCTGCCCTTGAACCCTCAGTGCACCACCATGCCCATCTAATATAAGCAAATTTTTATTAAAGATGACAATCTTTTTACATGTTATATAGGTAAAGATTTAAAAATAATCCCCACATAGGCAAAGGTATAGTAAGCTATGCGTATGCTATAGCTAATTTAAAAAAAAAGCAGAAAACACATTGGGGTGTTACTGTTACTATGCGGGATACTGAAAACCAGAGACGTTTCTATTAAACAGCTGAGGGCCAAGCGTGGTGGCACACGCCTGTGATCTTAGCACTTGGGAGGCTGAGGCAGGAGGACGGCCATAAGCTTGAGGCCAGCCTGGGATTTGCAGGGATTTCAAGGCCAGCCTGAACTACACAGTGAGACTGTTTAAAACAAAACAAAAGCTGGGGATTTAGCTCAGTGGTTCAGGCGCCTGTCTCGAAAGCGCAAGGTCCCGAGTTTGACCCCCGGTACCAAAAAAAAAAAAGAAAAAAAAAAGAGGAAGTCTTTTGCACTGTAAAACAAAACAAAAATCTGTAGTTTGAAGTCTCTCTTATGAAAACATAACCCCAAAGCAGTCAGTAGAGTTATTTGGAATGTGTGTCAGGGGGCAGCAGTTACCTGGGCTGCTGGGTGGGGCTGCAACTGTCCCAGAGGCCCCCGGGGCTCCGTGGGCACATCACTGGGGTCCTGGGTCTCAGGGCTGGGAAGCTGGGCATGGGCAGGCGGTCTCCCTGAAGACGAGAGCAGGAAAGGGCTGTTGTGTGTCTACAAAGATACACTGGATTTACCTCATGCAGAGCACACTCACTCAAGAAGCACAGCACGCTCCTCTTAAAAAACAAAGCAACTTCTCACAGAGGAGCCAGGGAAAGGTCAAGCGTGACCCAGGAGGGGCACAGCTCCCTGCAGCCATGCAGAGCCCAGGGGCAGAGCTGCCAGAGCAGCGGAGATGAGCATGGGAGAGCCTGGCGCAGCTGGGACATGTGGTGCTGTGCTCATAGCCTTCTGAAGGCTGAGGCAGGAGGATCACTCGAGCCCAGGAGTTTAGGCCTGGGTAATATTGTGAGACCCTGCCAAAAGAAAAAATTACCAAACAGACGTAATTACTGTTAAAATAACATTTCCCAAAGCCTGCCTCACAAGCACAAGAACCTGAGTTTGATCCCCGGTACCAAAAAAAAAAAAAAAAGAAAGAAAGAAAAAAAACATTTTCCAGAGTAGTGAATCACTTTGGCTAAACTACTTTGGACCTCAGTGAGTCCTGGGCGGTGATTTATAACTACTGCTATTTGACAGACTGCAAACTGCAGCAGAGAACATTCTAGGGCTCCTCCAAGCTCCCAGGGGACATGGTGACAAGCAGGCTCTGTGCAGGCTGGGAGCATCAGACCCTCAGGAGCTGGCTAAGCCCCTGGCCCTCAAGTGTCAGCTTTCTCCACATGGTGAAAGACAAAATCTGGAACTCAAGTGATATCCCTTAGTTTCTAATACCTGAATTTCAAAGTCACACAATCAGTAGCTGGGTGTGTCGACACCCACCTGAACTCCCAGTTACCTGGGCAGTTGGGACAGGAGGGTCATGAGCTTGAGCTCAGCCTCATAGGAGGGCAACACAGTGAGAAACTGTCTCAAAATAGCATGCTCACTTAGCATGTGTGAGGCCTGGGGTTCAATTCCCAGCACTGCAGAAACAAAAGAAAAGCAGGAAGGAAAAGGAAAGAAATGAAATTACTAAACAAGCAAGAATACACATTAAACATTAAATCCAAAACGTCAGGAAAACTGACAAACTCAAGAAAAAGGATCAAAAAGGTGAAATGGGAACTGCAGAATCTGCCAGAGGCTCTCGGCCCAGGGGGCTGCCCAGGGCGGCTGAGTGTGTGCAGAGAGACAGGAAGACGCAGTGTTGGGAGACACAATGGCTGAGATTTCTCCAGGTTTCAAGAATGGAAAAGCAAACATCCCCCCCCCCCAGGCCGCCCTGAGACCAGTCCCTCGTGACTCCGGCAGGGCCTGCACGGGGACACGGGTGGGGGGAGGTGTGTGGGGCCAGAGAGGTCAGACCCTGGGGACCTCCTCTTTCAGGGCAGCTGTGGGAAATGCAGATGTCTGTCACCTTAGCAGAAAATGCAGCAAGCTGCTGTTTGAGACAGCGCTAAAAGGAAATCATCTCAGGCACGGAAGACACAGGGTGGGTCTCTGCCTGAGGCTCTTCCCGGAGGGAGTGGGGAGAGGCCTAGATGGGGGCGGGGGAGACTCCACATCGCCCTGAAGGCTGGGGCTGCCTCAGCCCTGAGAGGACAGTGGGGGTGGCAAGGGGCAAACCTGGGGATAGTTTCGTTCAAATAGTTCACGAAATCTGATTTTATGCTAGCATTACTTCTACACTAATGGGAGGATTACAATAGGTTGCATCATAATTCACATATTAAACATACACAGATATTTTGCAGTCACTACATGGACCTGATGAACAGAACTGCACAACTAGCTTAACCATTTAACCATTGGGAAAAAATGAGCGAGATCTCTAATATGATTTTTTAAAAACCAAATTACTTCTAGATGAGTCAATACAGCAAGGGAATAACCCGATAATGAATTACAAATGGTCAAAAACTTATAGAAATATGAAGTATAGCAATGAAATATTTTTACTTTTTCGTTGTTGTTTTTGAGACAGGGTCTCACTATGTAGTTCAGGCTGGCCTCCAACTCATGGAGACAGTCCCACCTCAGCCTCCTGAGTACTAGAATTATGGGCCTGCAATACCATCCCTGGCTCACTCTACTTTAAATGTTTACAAACAAATATTTAATATAAATTTTTTTATAATGAGAAAAAACAAAAACCTTTTTAGACCGTTGGGCGTCATGTCAGCGGGCGGGCAGAAGGCTGCCTGGCCCTCACTGTCCCCTGCCATCGGCAGGTGCAGGGCAGGGTGAGGGTCCCTGTGTCTGGGGAGGGTGGCCCCCCGCCTGTGGATCCGTCCTTACCCTCCGCAGCAGAGCGCGAGGCCTGGTGAGGCCTGCGGGCATCGCCTGCTCCTGGACCCGGGCAGGCACAGCGGGCAGAGGTGGGGTGATACGGGGCGCGGTCGGGCGGGGCACAGGGCCCCGTGGGACATGCTTCCCTCGGGGCGATCTTGCGAGCCTCTTAATGAGTGGCCGCAGCCTTGGCCACAGGCTGGGGCGGGGGGGGGGGCGCGGGGACAGGGAGCAGACAGAGGCAGCAGCGCCTTGCAGCCCACACTGGCACCCTCTCGCGTGCTCCCCGCTGCTCCGCACACGCCGCCCTGCAGGACAGGACACATCCGCGCAGCGCCACGCGGTTCTTGGCTCCAAGAATCTGTGCCACACTCGCAAGGACTCCAGCGATAGCGGAGGAGGAGACCAGGTCGAGCCGCTGGAAGCGGGTTCCAGGGTGGCGCAGCCGCTCCAGTCACTTCCCCGCTCATCCTTCCCGGTTGCTCTCCGCCGCCGCAGACGTTCCTAGGGCACGTCCCTGGATGTGCATCATTCCTGAGTCCTTTTCCTTTTTCGCGGTGCTGAGGATGGCACCCAGCACCTCACACATGCCAGGCAAGCGCTGCACCGCCGAGCCCACTCCCCGCCCGAGAGTATCTTTTAAGTAGGTTCTGGAAGCATTGCTGGAGTCACGTGGCATGAACTCGTGGCAGATGACAGGCCTGACCAAGCCAGGCGCCTCTAACATAGATCCCCGCGCTCACCCTTCTCAAGGCCAAACCGGAAGCGGGTTTGTTTTGGTGTTGGAGAGGAACATGCTAGCTAGACATGTGCTCCACCACTGAGCCACACCACAGCCTCTGTGAAATTTGCACTACTGGGGATTGAACCCAGGGACACCCTGCTACATCCAGCCCTTGTTTACTTTATTTTGAGAGAGGGTCTCACTCAGTTGCCCAGGCTGGACTCAAACTTCTTATCCTCCTGCCTCAGCCTCCCTGAGTGCTAGGACTACAGGCCTGCACCACCACGCTTGCCCACCCTTAAAACTTTTGAGAAGCAAAAGATCCTGCTGTAGACTTAGCCTCACACACTGGGGCTCCTCCTCACTTACAGATTTCCTAGGGCCTCTCACTTGCCAGCCCAGACCTGGTCTGGGTGCCCTGGGGGCAGTGGCTCTGTCCCATACCTGAGAACTTGCCTGTCTCCCCCCTCATCGCTGATGCCTTTTCCACATCTGTCCCAAGGGCCTGGATCCCGTGCCTTGCAGTTTTCAGATCTCCAGTCCCGTGTGGGCTGGGGATGAACTGAGTGACTGTGCTCACAGCTGTGCCGCAGGAGTGTGAGCTGAATCCCATGTCAGCCTCAGAGAGAGAGAAACTCCAGCTCAGCCAGACATCAGACTGGGAAAAGGACAAAAGCCTGACTAACGAACAGTGCTAGGCAGATTTCATCACTGTGACCCGAATGCCTGGGAGAAACAACCTACAGGGGACAGGAGAGGGCTCGGTGCTGTGCCGGGACTCTGAGGCTGAGGCAGGAGGGTGGGCAGCTCAGTGAGACTCTCAAAAAATAAAAAGCGCTAGGGAAGTAGCTCGGGATGAGGCCCTGGGTTCAATCCCCAGTACAGGGCCGGGGGGTGGGGCTTACTTTGGCTCAGTTTCAGGGGTTCTAGTCCGAGGGCACCCAGCCCCATTGCTTTCGGCCTGCAGCGAGGCAGAGACACCATGGTGGAGGGTGTGGCGGAGGGAGGCTGCTCACCTCATGGCAGCCAGGGAGCAGAGGGTGGGGATAACATGCAGTCCCCAAGGAGACCTCTCCAAGACCCACTTCCTCCAAGGAGACCCCACCTCCTGTTTCCATCACCTCTCAACAGCGCCACCAAATCGTGACCATCGATGGACCGGTCCACGGATGAAGTCAAGAGCCTGCACAGTCCTGTCACCTCCCGAAAGCCCCGCTCTGAACACAGGAGATGGCGGGGGACATCAGATCTGAGCCACAACAGATAATCACAGAGCCAGAGGGGCGACAGGGCCATGGCTGCCCCAGGCTCATTCTCTAGAGGCCAGAAAAAGGTGGGCAGCCTTCTAGCAAAATGTGAGGGACAGAAGGAGAAAGAAAAGTAGTTAAAAGTGCCAGTGCTGGGAAGGCCCCTCTGGCCTTCAGAGAAGGGTCCCAGCCCCGTGGGCTCCGAGGCTTGCTCTGATGCCGATGCCCAGGCAGCCGGGAGAGGGCAGCAGGTTTACCCAGAGGGCTGCTCCAGGGTGTGTCCCCTGGCTCCTAGGGCCCCACACCCTTCCGGGGAGTACAGCACTCCCTGAAACTTGGGCCCCATGCTCAGGTTGGTTCCTTCCCCATTTCGAGGTTCCCTCATAAGCCTGGGATACAAACATCAGTGTGCTAAGCCTCAGCTGTCCTCCCTGTAAGGCAGAAGCTAGGGACCAACACCGGTGGCCTGACCTGGGCCTTCTCTTAAGTGCCACCATTGGTTGCTGGCCCTCTGCAGGGCTGCACAGGACCTGCCTTGAGAGATGTGGCCCAGGCTTATATCTCATCAGGCCTTGGCTCCCCTGATGTTCAGCAGACGGGGTGGGGGTGGGACACAGGGACATGGTACCCCCACAGCACGGCCTGAGGGCATCACAGGAAGCTCAGAAGCTTGCTGCAAAGGAGCCGAGGGTGGAGGGTGCGAAGGCTGAGGGAGGTGGAGGTGAGCAGAGGTGTGTGCTTCCAGGCCTGAGAGAAACACTGTGGCCAATGCGGGTGGAGTCTGGTGTCCCCTCCCCAGAGGGCGTCTACTTGGGACAGTGATGAGAGCCATGCGTGGCGGGCCTCTGCTCAAGAGGCCACACATGGATGGGGCTCTGGGGCTCCAGTGGGCCTGCCAGGTCTGGGTGCTGCTACTCCCTGGGGCTCCAGGTATTGCTGGGTGTGGCCTGCACTGCAGGGTCAGAACGCTGTGTCTTTTCTTCAAGAACCTGGGACCCAGATGATAGGTCCATGTAGTGCTGCTGCACCCCAGTGTTGGGTGCCCCTCCTTTTATATGATCCAGGTATTTGCAGTTCTTACAACATGGCAGACACTGACAATACAAATGAACCACGGTGTGATGCTATGACATTGTAGCAAAGAACAGTCTAAACTTGATGAAGACTTGGATGAAGTTGAAGAAGTGGAAGGAGAAGAAACTGGTGAAGGAACAAAAATCAAAATGCATCAGCTGACTGTTCAGATGATGCAAAATCCTCAGATTCTTGCAGCCCTTCAAGAAAGACTTGATGGTCTGGTAGACACACCAACAGGATACATTGAAAGCTTGCCCAGAGCAGTTAGAAGAAGAGTGAATGCTCTCAAAAACCTCCAGGTTAAATGTGCATAGATAGAAGCCAAATTCTGTGAGAAAGTTCATGATCTTGAAAGGAAGTATGCTGCTCTCTAGCAACCTCCATTTGATAAGCAATTTGAGATCATTCATGCAATTTGTGAACCTTCAGAAGAATGTGAATGGAAACCAGATGAGGAAGAAGAAATTTTGGAGGAGCTGAAAGAAAAGGCCAAGATTGAAGATAAAGAAAGATGAAGAAAAAGAAGATCCTAAAGGAATTCCTGAATTTTGGTTGAGTGTTTTTAAGAATGTTGACTTGCAGGCCAGGGATTTAGCTCAGTGGTTCTGCTGCCTGCCCCATAAGCGCAACGACCTGAGTTCGATCCCTGGTACCAAAAAAAAAAAAAGACTGTTGACTTGCTCAGTGACATGGTTCAGGAACATGATGAACCTATTCTGAAGCATTTGAAGGACATTAAAGTGAAGTTCTCAGATGTTGGCCAGCCTATGAATTTTATCTTAGAATTTCACTTTGAACTCAATGAATATTTCACAAATGAAGTGTTGACAAAGATATATTATAGGATGAGATCTGAACCAGATGATTCTGATCCCTTTTCATTTGGTGGACCGGAAATTATGGGCTGTACAGGGTGCCAAATAGATTGGAAAAAAGCAAAGAATGTCACTTTGAAAACCATTAAAATGAAGCAGAAACATAAGGGACGTGGGATGGTTCGTACTGTGACTAAAACAGTTTCCAATGATTCTTTCTTTCATGGTTTTGCTCCTCCTGAAGCTCCTGAGAGTGGCTATCTGGATGCTGCTGCTGCAGCTCTCTTTGCTGCAGATTTTGAAACTGGTCACTTTTTGCATGAGCATATAATCCCAAAATCGGTGTTGTACTTCACTAGAGAAGCTACTGAAGATGATGACAGTGACTATGATGAAGAAGGTGAAGAAGTGGTTGAGGAAGGGGAAGAAAGAGATGAGGAAAATGATCCAGACTATAACCCGAAAAGGGAACAAAACCCAGCAGAGTACAAGTGGCGGTGAGGCAGGATGCTCTACCTTCTGCTTTCCTGGAAAGGATGACTTTACATTATTTGATGAGCCTATTTCATGTTTTTTGGTTGTTTGCTTGTTTTTGGGTTTTTCTGGTTTTTTTGGTACTGGGGATCGAACTCTGGTCCTTCTGCTTGCGAGGCAGACAGTGGAACCACTGAGCTAAATCCCTAGCCCTGCTTGTTTTTGTTTCTGTAGTTTAAAATAAAAAATGTTAAATCAAGAAAAAAAAAGGACCCAGGACTCAAGTGTCACTTGCCTTTCCTAGGAAATCAGCTGAGTTCTTGGCCCCAGCCTGGGCCTCCATCGGAGACACAGCTGCCACTGTCTGGGAGCAGCGCCCCCGAAAGGCTCCCTCTGCTGACCCCTGCCGCGTCTCACGGATGTAGCCGGGGCAGGCCCGAGCGCGCCCTGAGTGCTCGCTCACCTCTGGGACGGCCCAGCTCAGCACGCAGCCGGTTCCCCATCTCGATGAGCTGCTCCCTCTGCAGGTGGAGGCTGAGGATCTTTCTGGAAGCTTCCTTTAGTTTCCTCTGCAGGTGGGGCACAGATGAGGCCTGGGGGCGCTGTGTTCTCCGCTGTGGGTGTCTGGAAAACTGCTCCTGGTCCTCAGTCCCCACGGGTGTCCCATCTGCGAGGCCCTGCACACGAAACCACACGCCAGACGCCCCGTGAGCCCCACACCCACCAGCCCTGTGTGGAAGAGGGCCAGGGCGGCCGAACCCCCGCTCCTGCCGCGCCCCGTCGTCGCATGGCCTCTGCCCCAGGGACGGCCTCCACAGGGCAGGCAGGGTGGTGGCTGCGCCGTGCTGATGGCGGTGGGAGTGCAGACCTGGGTGGGCTCTCCTTTTCCGTGAACCAGCAGGGCGCACAGACCCCCACCTCCACGGCTGCGGCCCACACTGGTTCCTCAGTCCTCCCCCACCTCTCCTCCCTTGCGACGTGGGGCGTCTGGGCCTTTGTGACTCTCAGGGGAAACAATGAGAACCTCTCACCCGGGCTGGCCCAACTGCTCTGGCCCAGGCTGGGCCCTGTTTCCTGGAGCAGAGGGCGCCTCCTTTACTGTGGTCCCCACGCCCCCAACCTCGGGCAGGCTGGCTCTCCCAGCCACCAGATGTCTCCTCTCCCTCCACCCTCTGTGGTACCCGTGGCTTCCCGCAGCCCTGAGACACTGCAGGGGGCAGGCAGAGGCAGACCGGAGGGCTGAGGCTGATAGGGCGGTGCCTGCAGGGCCAAGGGAGACGTGACCCCGGGAAGCCACGTGTGGTCCTAGCTCAGCTGGCCCGGACCGGGCCCCACCACACACGGCTATGCAGTTGCACAGGAGGGGGTGTCGGGACAAGGACAGGGGCACTGGGCTCAGGCACCTGGGAGAAGCCAGACTGCTCTCACCCTTGGCTCTGAACGCCATGCCCCAGAAGGAAATGTATATCCTGTCCGGGCCAGTGGCCTGGAGACCTCCAAGGCCTGGAATGGCCTGTGCCCTCTGGGCACTCTGTTCCTCAGGTGGCCTTGAAGCTGGGTAACTGGGTCCTGCACCTCAGGCAATGTGCCATGGCTCGGGGGACAGAGCGGGGTGACACAGCAGAGGAGACATCTGCCCTGCTCTGGGGCTGCAGGCTGCGTAGGCCGGGTGCCCCAAACCTGACGTATTCCCAGCGTGTGCCCTGGTGCCTCTGCCCCTCTTTGCTGGTGTGGTCTTCAGAGGACAAGGGACCGAGGGGAGGGCCTGGGAAGGGTGGGAGACACCTGGAGGAGGGTGGCCCAAGGCTCCCTACCCCCCCACAGGGGCCAACCTGAGACTGTGTGACTCGCTGATTCTCAAGGTATGGAAGAACAGGCCTGCAACAGGAGGAGCAAACCTCAGAGCCTGGGGATTCTGCAGGGATGGCGAAACTCTTAGAGCTTCCAACGATAACTGCTGTGGCATGTGTGCCACAGACTCGCCATCACTGCTCGAGGGGAAACTTGCCCTCCGAATGCCCCTCACCGCAACAGCGGCCCTGGCAGGATCCTCTGAGGACTGGGTTCCTGGCACAGTGGTATTTGCTAGAAGTTTATTTTTCATGAGTCTCAAGTCTCTCCCCCAAATAAAGACTGCAAACTGGAGATGTACTGAGACACCTTCTGGACCACAGGCCCTCAGGCCCCGAGGGGCACAGTGGGCCCCATCTCCCTGCACTCGCCCCAGGGCCAGGACAATCCCTCAACGGCTGCCAGGGTGCAGACGCCAGAGCCCCAGTGAGGGAGCGAATCTGGACAGTGAGGAGATCGGGAGTGCCATCCTCAGGAGGCTGCGGTGAGAGCCAGTGGACCATGGGCCAGAGGCTGTTCCACAGCCAGGCCAGCACTACCTCCTCAGGACGAGAGGCAGCTCCACGCCAGTGCCCATGAGTCAGGCCCAAGGCACAAAGGCCCGAGGCCAGAATCAAGGGGCTGGGGGTGCAGCTGGGAGAGCAGGACACCCCTCCAGCCACCGTCTCCTGAGCAGGGGCCTAGGTGGGCTGTGTGGAGGCCTCAGGCCTTGGCCGGCCAGGGGCAGGGCCAGCCTTTCACAGAGCCTGCAAGGGCAGTGCGGGCTTCATTGGGCTCCCAGCCTGAGGACAGCCTGTCCCTCAGCACTGCCCAGGCCTCCAGGTGAAATTTCTTTCAGTATCTGAGAGTAAATGGAGATGTGCTGCTTCACACCCAGACGCTCAGTTTGTGCTTCTAACATAGGAACATGTGGACACATGGTCTGCTCCCCGACACACTGAATTTCACCTGGGGTCCTGACTGTGTCCTTCCCAGCCTGAGTTTCCTGCCCAGGACTCAGGGGACACGTGGAGTCTACCTGCTGGGCTTCCCAGCGCCCCAGTGTCTGTCTGCTTTGTGCTGCTGACACCCTGGAGTCCAGGCTGTGTCACGTCTCCGCTGCACTGTCTGAGGCTGCCTCATGCTCAGGCCCAGGTTCCGCATTTTTGGTGGGAGCCCAGGAACAAGTCCTGGTGCTTTCTACCTCAGGGATGAGACAATGGTGAGTCCTGACCCTGGGAGCTTGGTCAAGCTGGTGTCTCTCTCCTTGGCAGTTGAGCCATCTGTGTGGGACTTAAGTGGAGCCCAGGACAGCCTTGCTGCCAGACCTCTGCCTCTGTCTATACTTGTCCCAGCTGCCCAGCTGGTTGCATCATCCCCGAGGGCTGCTGGGTGATCTTCTGATGGGTCTGCTTATCTGTCCCAGTGTGAACTTGGGATTTCCTGTTTAACCCAGTGCATTGTGATCTCTCCCAGCCAAGCCCATTGGCCTGGAGCTGGTCAGCAGAGCCTCTTCCAGCTCCTCCTCCTGTGCCCTACACTGGATTGGCACAGAGCCCCTGATCCCAGGGGCAGAGCAGGAAATCCAGAACCAGCCTCAGGGCACCAGGTGCTTGCGGCTGAGGGAGTTGCTATTGCCAGACCCTCGAAGGACCAAACCGGGAACGTGTGCACACGTGTCTCCCTCCACTGCCCCACCTGTCTGAAATGACCGCCCCATCTGCACCCCAGGGGCCTGTCTCTTTGGTCCTCCTCCCTTCTCCTGATGCTGAGACACCTGGGGCCCCGTCCTTGACCTAGGTGGGGCCTGGCACCACTGCAGACCGGTCTGTCCACGCAGGACTCAGCGGCTCAGTGTCGGTCCTGTTTATCTGCACGGCGTCTGGCCCCTCTGCTCTGCACACACGGGAAGGAGAGGACTGGGAAGGGCTGAGGACAGGGCTCACGGCCCTGAAAGCCAGCAGCTGATCTGGAAAAGCTGGGATGGATTCGAAGGAAGCGGAGAGAGAAGCACAGCTGCCACCCCACAGGCCAGGAATGCAGGCCACACGTCCCCCAGGCCAGGAGTGAGCCCGGGGCAGCAGGACTATGGAGCCCAGGGTGGGCGAGGTGCTGGCCTGGGGTCGCAAACAGCTTGGCGCTGCCTTAGTGGCCGGCCCAGCCCTTCTGGTGCCTGATGGCTGAGCACCAGCTGGGCCTTGGCCCCTCAGCCCCTGCGCCTTGCCCGCTTCACCTTCAGCTGTTCTGAGGCAGCTCCTTCCAGAGGCCCTGGGCTGCATCCCTCTCATGTCCCTGGGTCTCCGCTCCAGAAGCCCGGTGCCACAGGGACACAGACATGGCCTTCAGCCACGACTGCTCCTGCCAGAGGACTCTAGTGCTTATGGACATCGTTCCTTGTCCCTAAACCATCAGTAACCACAGGTCATCCCAGACCACTGCTACTCAGCACAGGTAACCACAGGGCACCATGGGTCACCATGGGTCAGTACCAGAAATCACACGTCAGCTGGGTCACACGGGTCAGCACTGCAGGTGGCTGGCAGGGCCTCTGAGCAGTAGCGGGCATGGGTAGAGGGAAGGGCCTGCTGACAGGGCTGCTGAGACCAAGGCACATGCTGGGTGGCACGCAGCGCTGAGGCTGCTGGAGACCAGGGCGGAGCCAAGGCTGGGCTGAGGAGTCTGCAGTGGGCACTCTCATCCCACAGGCAGGGCCACCTGCACAGCATGCAGCTGGCGGTGAGGGGCACAACAGCTTGTGCAGTGTATTTCAGGCTTTGCCTGAAGACAAGGCTGGGGGTAGCACTTCAGGGAAGGCCCGAAGCAGGAGACTCTCACAGCAGACGGAAGCAGGGCTGACCTCTGGGGACAACCTTCTATGCATGAAGACCAGCAGCTAGGCAGGCACCAGCAGTGCCAGCCACCTGTGCGGGGACCCACCTCTTTCTGGAGCAACTTCCTGTCTGAGGGCTCCCCTCCTTTCGGCCGAGCTGTCCCAAGGTACTTCTGCAGCTCAGCCACCTGCTTCTGCAGCTCCAGAACTTCCAGGTGCACCTGGTCCACTTCTGGGGGAAGCTCCTGCTGCACAGTGTCCAGCTCCAAGGGCTGCTGCTGCACCTAGGAGGCATTTCAGAGCCAGTCAGGGATGAGGCGTAAGGGTGCCAGGGCTGCAGCAGGGCAGCTACGCAGTGTGCAGGAGGACCCGGCCCAGTCGCTCCTCTCTGGCTGGACGTCATCTGCACACAGGCCCTGAATGCTCCAGGTGTGTGCTGCCCACATGCTGGGCCCCACGGCTGGATGGGGAGAGTGCAACAGCCCTTCTTGCAAGTCCTCGTGCTGGGGAGAGACAATGCCACCAGGAAACGCCAAGTACACCAGGTGCAGGGCACACACTTGGCCTAGCTGCTCGGAGGCTAGGCAGCAGAACCGAAAGTCTGACCCTGGCCTGGGAAATTTAGCAATTTAGAGACTCTGTCTCAAAATAAAAAATAAATAAATATGGGACTGGGGATGTAGCTCAGTGCAAAGGCTCTGGGTCCAATCCCCAATACTGCAAAAAACTAACAAATCACCACCAGTCTGGAGATGTAGCTCAGTGGTAGAGCACTTGTCTATCATGCGTGAGGCCCTGGGTTCAATGCCCAGCATCACAAAAGAAAACAAAATGAACCCACACAAGTCACCAGGGGGCAGGGAGCAGGTCTCCCCTTCCCATCTGCTGCAGACATGGGGGTCAGGAGAGGGAAGCGGGGTGTGGCGGAGGCTGTGAAAGCCGCGTGGGACCCACAGTGCATGACAGGCAGGGAGTACCGAGGTCCCCACAGAACCCTCCGCAGGAGGTGGCAGAGTGCCTGCGCCATCCCCACACAGCCCCAGCCTGGGCTTTCCAGCTGGCCGGGCCAGGTGGAGGAGACACACACAGCCCTCCCTGCACGGAGCCTCTGGGTCTCTGAGCCTTCTCCTCCCAGGAGGCCTACAGCCAATTCCTTATGAATGGTTTTGTTTTGCATTTGTCACAGACACCTAAGGCGGTGAACATTTGGAAGCAGACACTGTTAAGTAGAAAAATAAAAACATTCCAAGGTAACTTCTTAGCCAGCACAACCAAATTGCCTGGATTACCAAGCTTTTACCTAGATGTTTGTTTTTCGTTTGTAGGATTTGTGTGTGAAATTCTAACAAGAGGTGGATCCAGGAATTCAAAGCATTATAGAAATCAGATATCCTCCTCTCCTCATATGTATGTAGAACTTTTTTGTTTGTTTGTTTGTTTGACATAAGGTTTCACTATGTAACTCAGGCTGGCCTTGAACTCACTGCTTAGGCCAAACTGGCTGGGGAAAAATAGGTAATCTTCCCCCCTCAGCCTCCCGAGTGCTGGGATGACAAACATGTAGCACCAGGCCTGGCCCAGGGATTATTTGGATTTATGTTATTTTGAAAATATTTGCAGATTTTTTTTTTTTGGTACCAGGGAATCGAACTCAGGTCCTTGCGCTTGTGGGGCAGGTGCCAGAACCACTGAGCTAAATCCCCAGCCCATTCAGAGATTTTTCTAGATATCTCTGTTACCGATATCCAATTAGATTCTTCTGAGGTCAGGAAACATTTTCTGTGTGATTTGAATCCTTACAAGTCCATGGAGATCTGCTTTATGGTCCAATACATAGTCTAACTTACTATAGTCCCACAAGCACCTGGGGATGTATGTAGAGTTCTGATCCGGTGAACAGAAATGGAAAGTGGTCAAATCCATGTGCACTGCAGCAATGGAGATGCACATCCGGTCAGGAGTGGGAACAGACACCCAGAAGAAAAAACAGTTTGTGAGGCCGCCCATCTGCTATTAGCAGGTTTGGCCACAGTGTGCCAATGTTTCAAAGCATCTTAGCCGGGTGTGGTGGTGTACGACTGCAATCCCAATACTTCTGGGAGGCTGAGGCAGGAGGATCTCAAGTTTGAGGCTAGCCTGGCCATTTTAGCCTGTCTTTTTTTTTTTTTTAAGCCTGTCAAAAACAAAACAAAAAAGGCTGGAGATGTAGCTCAGTAGGTTACTCCATGGTGCCAAAAAGAAAAAAAATCATAATATACAACATAAATGTATACAACATTTATTCGCAATTTAATAAATAAATATAAATGAAAAAAATCTCCTAGAAGACTAAAAAAGGTGGGCCGGGGATTTAGCTCAGTGGTTTAGCCTCCTGCTTCGCAAGCATAAGGTCCCGAGTTCAATCCCTGGTACCAAAAAAAAAAAAAAAAAAAAAAATTAAAAAAGGTGACGCGTCCAGCTCTGCAGCATGGCCACTCTGAGGCAGGCGGAAGTGCAGAGGCTCTGAGTTCCCTGCTTAGGAGGAGACAGATTTCGGGGAAGATGTAAGTTGTGTGTCTGCGGACTCAAAAGGACTTGTGACAATTCCTCTTCAGGTCACCATGTAAGAAACGTGTGTCCAAAAGGTGACAGGACCATGTGACCCCAAAGCACAAGCAAGAAGAAAGTGAATGAATTGCACCCGGCCAAGATCAAGTGTGCTGTGAAGGACACCACCATGGGAGTAGAGACAAGCACCGAGGGGGAAAGAAATTTAGCAAATCTCCATCTGATGAGGGACCTGTGTACAGAATATAAACAGAACTGGGCCAGGGATTTAGCTCAGTGGTCCTGCTGCCTGCCCAGCAAGCACAAGGTCCCAAGTTCGATTCCTGGTACAAAAAAAAAAAAAGCAAAACAACCAGAATATAAACAGAACTTTCACACCCAACAAAAATGACAAATAACCCAACTAAAAATGTACAAAGAGGACCGGAAGTTTAGCTCAGTGGTGCCAGTGCCTGCTTGGCAACCACAAGGTCCTGGGTTCGATTCCCGGTGCTGGGAAAAAAAAATAGGCAAAGGGCCAGATGTGGTGGTGCACACCTGTGAGCCGAGCACTTGGAAGAGGGATCACCTAGAGTTCCAGGCCAGCCTGGGCTTTGGAGTGAGTTTGAGGCCAGCCTGAACTACTTAGCAAGGATCTATCTAAAAATAAAAAGGGCAAAAGATCTAGGTGGACACTTCTCAAAAGCTGTACAAATGGCCAAGCAGCCATGGGATGTGCTTAGCATCATACGTCACCAAGAAAATGCTGGACCACCGGGAGGCGCCACTTGACACCCACCAGGGTGGCAGAATCAAAAAGCCAGAAACAGCTGGTGTCGGTGAGGACGTGAAGGAGCCAGAGCCTCCACGCACTGTTGATGGGGATGCGAACTGGCACCGCTGCTTTGGAAGAGCTAAGCATAGACTCTTAAGAGATGCCTCTGGGCATCTGCCCCACACTCCTGGCAGCACACTCACAACAGCCAGCGGGCAGGGGCGGCCCAGGTGTCCACCCACAGACAGCAGCTACACGGAGCGGGGCTCTTCACCACAGACAAACCTTGAAAACGCCTGCTAAGTTAGCACCAGACACAGAAAGACTTCGCCTCCCACGGGCCCTGCATGTTCAGCCTTGTCACTACCTTCTGTTGAGGCCTTTTTTACCAGACTCTCCCCATGCCCCTGCAACAGTCACACACAAGATGACCCAGCCGCATTTTACTCAGGCAAGGAAAGGCCAAGCAGGCACCTGTGATGGCTTGTATCTACATGCCCCCCCAAGGCCTCATGCGCTCGTAGGTGGGGGTTCCGGGAGGTGGCTGGGTCATGGGTGTATGATGCTGGGATTAAGGATGTGCCCTAACTAAATTGGTTTAGCATGGGGCCAGGGATTTAGCTCAGTGGTTTCGCCGCCTGCTGCACAAGCGCAAGGACCTGAGTTCGATCCCCAGTACCCCCCGCAACCCCCCCCACCCAAAGAAACAGAACATGGATTCGCCAGGGATTTAGCTCAGTGGTTATGGTGCCTGCCTCTCAAGTGCAAGGTCCCAAGTTAGATCCCCGGTACCAAAAAAAACCAACGAAAAACAAAAACATTAAGATTAATTGGTTTAGCATAGATCTGGGTGTGGATAATGGAAACCCCACCCTGGTTGTGGGTAGCACCACCCAAAGGCTTGTAGCCTGGATGGGATAAAAGGGAAAGGGAGCTTTGCTGCTGCTGCCTGCCCTGCCATGGACTGTTTCTCCTCGCGATGCCCCTCTACCATGTGCCATCCTGCCTGGGAGGCAGCCAACTATGGACTGAAACCTCTACAAACTGTGAGCAAATTAAACCTTTTCTCCTTTATCTGGTGGGTGTCAGGAATTTTGTCTCAGCAATGAGAAAAGTAACTAAGACAGCATCCAAGGGCAGTGGGGTCATATCTGGCACAGCCCTGAGCCTGCTCACGTGGCCATTCCTGGAAGACCTGGAAACCTTGAGTGCCACCAGGCCAATCTCACCTTCTTTTTGAGCTTCGTTACCAGCAAGGTCAAGAGATGCACTCTGTCTCCAAGCTTCCTGAGCACCAGTCCAGGGGATGCCTGGTCAACACAGACAGAGTCTCCTGCAGAGAAGACGACTCAGTCAGGCTCAGAGCTCGAAAACTAGACATGTCACCCACGAGTCCCAGAGGCCACTGGATGTCCTTAAGGGGCAGGTGTCCCTCACTGGAGTCAAGAGGTCTCGTTCCTTATGACAATCAGAAATGTAATAGCCAGGCATGGTGGTGCATGCTTGTAATCCCAGCACTCGGGAGGCTGAGGCAGGAGGATTGCTATGAGTTAGAAGTCAGCCTGGGCTACACAGTGAGTTCAAGGCCAGTGTGAACTACATAGCGAGACCTGGCGAAGCCCAACCGACCTCCAATGCTGCTTGACAAAGTTCCAGCTGGGGAAAGAAAGGGTGGAACACATCGTACCCTCATGTTTTATTTTTTCTTGCCATAATGTTTATAATTGTTACTCTGGTCACAGGAGTCACTGTGTTTGTGACTAACAACAAACTCTCCAAGAGGCAAACTGGCAATGATATATTGAAATGTGATCTGGCTCACAAGTCCTAAATTCCAGTTTCTCTTAGTTCTATTGCCACATCCACTCCTAAAGAAACCTCTCCTAAAACCCTGTTTCCCCACTACTATGACTCCCCCTCTTATTGCTGACATTCTATTTACTAAAGGGGTCTTATGAAGAGATTGGAAGGACAGACTTTAGATGTAAGAAATAGTGGGAAATGGGAAAAAGAAAGAAAGTTAAGACAGGTGAATGCATTAAGGAGGCAAGTTACTCAATATTTCTCAAAGTGCTGTAAATATCTCCTGCTCATAGACTATGAACCCAAATGACATTTAGTTAAGATGAATAGAGGTATAGAAAAATAGAGAGCTAATAGCAACTATATTAACCATTGTGCAGTTTCTCAAGGGCCAGCTGGCGACCACAAGTTTGACACTTAGTTGATTAAATCTTGCTTGTACCCCCGCTGATATAAAGATTTTGATTAAGTTACTTTCTGTTCTGTTTAGGTGTGGGTAAACAAGGGGACAATTGTAATTTTTAAATATGTATTCATGACGTTCAATGAAATGAAACAGCTTAGAGGAATTGTACTTTGTTTAGCAAAAAATAACCTTTACTTCAATAGAAATTGCTAAGGCAACTTAAAATGTTAACATGTTCCGCCCAATGCCTCCCAGCTATTGCTTAAAGATATAAAAATAAGTCAGACCCTGAGATTTCTCAGAGGGAACCTGAACACTGCTTGTGAAGGTTCTTTTCTCATCACCGGCCCAGGACATCTCCCCTTCCTACCCTACATCGACTGCACATCGACTGCAGCTGGTCTGCGGCAGAGACCCTGTCTCAAAAACCAAATAAAGAAGAAAAAAAATGTGCTGTACATGAAATATAATCCTGTGCAGAGAGAGCAGGACAAAATCCAACCTGACCACGCAGTATCTGATGGAGCCACACCACTTACACATGAGGCATTTGTTTAGAAGTAACAAAAAAGATGCCAGGGCCAGGGATTTAGTTCAGTGGTTCTGCTGCCTGGCTCGCAAGCGCAAGGTCCAGAGTTCGAACCCTGGTACCAAAAAAAAAAAAAAAAGATGCCAGCAGCTCACATGGGTCAAAGGAAAAATGACAATGGACATTACAAGTTATTATAACTTGTATTACATAACTTACATTAATATTAATATTATATAACCTGTATTATATATAATATAATTATATACAATATCCATGATATACACATTATATATTATGTTATATATAGTATATATATTATATATGTGAGTTACAGAATCTTATCCAATCTTAAGGAATTCAGGTTAAGCTGTCCTTTTGAGAGCACTTATAGCTTTGGGTACACATATTAGAAAAACAGAAAGGCTGAAAATCCATTAGCTGAACATTCATCTAAAGAAGTTAGAAAGATAACCAAATAAAGTAGAAGAAAGAGAATAAAGTTAGATGTGGAAGAAATAGAAAATAAATATAATAGATGATCAACAAAACCAAGTTGAGTCTTTAAAAAGGCTAAAAATAAATATAAATTTCCGGTGACTCTAAGCAAGAAAGAATAAAAGAGAACAAGCGAAGGACCCACCTGATGTGGGAAAAGGCCCAGTGGGCATTTAGAAAGCTCCTGGAATAGGGTAAGAAACTTTATGCCAGAAGTTGGAAAATCTAGATGAAATGGACAATTTCTTAGCATAATATAACATTCAAAATGATGCCCTCAAATGGGTGTGGTGGTGGATGTCTGTAATCTCAGGACTTCTGTAGGCTGAGGCAGGAAGATCGAAAGTTCAAGCTCACTCTGGGTAACTTAGCAACTTAGTGAGACCCTGTCTGAAAAGGAATTTTTTTTAAAGGGGCTGGGAGCCATGGTGGCACATGCTTATAATCCTAGCACTCAGAAGCTGAGGCAGGAAGATCCCTGAAAGTTTGAGACAAGACTGGGCTGCATTGTGAGGCTTTGTCTCAAAAAAACAAAAAAAGCCACCGTGCCTGCCTCGAAAGCACAAGGTCCTGAGTTCAATCCCCTGTACCAGGGCTGGGGATGTAGCTTATTGTGGAGGCCTTAGGTTCAATCCCTAGGACCACCAAAGGGGTCAGGGAGGCACACATGAAAAGCTGGAAGTCCTCTAACTACGAACAAAACTGAATTCATAGTTTAAAACTTTCTCACCAGGAAAACTCCAGCTTCAGCTAGTTTCCAAGCAGAACTCCATTTTTTTTGCTAGAGGTAGAAATTCTCAGTAAAGTATCAACAAACGGAACCTAGAGACGCAGATGGGAAGAGCCCCACGGTGTGGTGGTTCCCTCTGGGACTACAAGGTCCAAGCTGCGAGACAGCAGTGCCCGGACCTGCTCCTCCCTACCCCAAGCAGGCGCCCGCCACAAAAGCAGCCGGTGCAGGAAGAATCTGAGAGGCAAGGAAAGGACAGCCCTGCATCAGGGACCGAGGGCTCTAGGGCACAGCCCAGCGTGAGTTTCCTGTGCCTCTCGGGAGCTTTCAGAGGAGCCCACGACCCAGAAACACCAATGGGGTTTGAGGAAACCCAAGAAAATCTGCTCCCTGGAACCACAGGGCCAGGGAAAGACCCCTGCCCTCCAGTGCTGCTACCCACTGCCCATGTCCACGCTACATGCAGGACAGCACCTTCTGGGGAGAGCACTCGGGAGTCCTCACGGGACAGCAGGGTCTGCAGGGGTCCCTGTGGCGCCCGCCTGTGATGCCAGCCACAGCCGGGAAGGCAGATCTGGAGAGCTGAACTCAGGGGCACTAGTGGGGCCTGAGGGCAGAGGGGCCTTGGCATGGACTCACTGAGGAACACGGAGGCACAAAGCAGCACCGGGACAGCACGGCAGGCACACGGAGTGGCAGTGCCACCCGCCGTGGACAGAGGCTGGCTGCCCCATAACCGAGCAGTGTGAGTTGGGAGAGGCAGCACCGAGGCACTGTCCACTCCACCCCACGAGGAAAGGGGACCCGGCCATGGGCGAGGAGTCAGGGCGGTAGCTGACTGGGGGAGCACCAGTGGCTCTGATCTGCTCACAGGGGCCAGGGCTGGGAAAGTCCATTTGGGGAACCATATTTCGTCTTTCAGAGACAGGTACTGGGACAGCCTGGCCTCACCGGCAGCCTCTGCGGAGCAGCAGGCACTGGGCTGGGGGTCGGCATGGCTGGAGGGCGTCCTCGGAGGCTCCCGCGCGCCTTCCAGCTGCGCTTCCAGGCCTTTCAGTTTGTGCTTTAGGTCTTGCATTTCTGCTTCGAGGGCCAGAACAAAATCTGCCAAGACACCGGACCTGTCACACTGTCTCCTCCCACACCTCAACCCTAGCTCCCCCACAGGATGCCCTCCCGGTCGGCCTGGCCCAGCGTGGCCCCCACCTCACTACCACAGATGCTGTTCACTGGGAGACAGACAACAGGGCCTGTCCCACTCACCAGGAGGGGCTGCATCTCCCGCAGCCTGGGGATCGGGATCAGGACCGGGCCGCTCGGCCTCCGAGGTGTCCCTTGCTAACTGTGGGGGAGGCAGCATCTGGTCACTCAGCGTTTCCATCTCCCGCCTCATCTGTGCGACGGTGCTCCGCAGGCTGCTGTTCTGCTCTTGCAGCCGCTGGATCTCCCTAGACGGAAAATCTTTACCAACTTCTTCTCTGTGCTGCTGTGGGGGCGTCTGTCAAACACACAGGGAGAAGGAGAAAGAGAAAGAGAGGGAGGCTTCCCGGCTCCACCCGTGCCCACCTGCTTCCGCCCTCTGTACCCTGGGCCGAAGGGACCCCTCCGAGCACGGCAGCAGGCAGGCTCGCAGACCCTGACCTTCCAGAGTGCAGGGTCCCCAAGTAACCAGGGCAGCGGCTCCAGGGGCGGCAGGGCTGGGGACTCGTGTTCAATGGGACGGAGGATGAGCTGGGGGAGACACTGAACTATGGACCAAAGAAGGGTGAAGAGGGCACATTTTACGTACATCTTAGCACCATAAAAATTTACCAGCTATAATGGGACCAAGAGCAGATCAGAAAGCACAGAAGAGCAGTGACCATAAACACAGAGCAAGAGAAAACAATCAAACTGAAGGAGGGAAGGGTCTGAAAAATAAAGGTGGTGAGCAGAACTCCAGAAGCAGTGGGACAACGTGAGGTGGTCTGGGGTGGTGGCCAATAGGCACCCAGAAAAACAAGAGGGGCCAGGAAAGGTTTTCCAAGCAGGCTGTGGTGGTGCACGGCTGTAATCCCAGCACCCGGGAGGCTGAGGCAGGAGGATGCTGCAAGTTCAAGGCCAGCCTGGGCTATATAGTGAGTTCAGGGCTAGTCTGAACTACAAAGTGAGACCCTGTCTCAAAAGCAAAACAAAACAAAAACCAAAAAGCAGTAAAGCTATTCCAGAGCACAGTCAAGTGCTTCAAGTCTGATGAAGACCATAAATCCACAGGTCTAAGAGCTTCAGTGAACCCTAAGTAACATAAACACAAAGAAAACTACACCAAACAGCATATCAAAATCTAACTTCTGCGAAGCGGTGACAACGAAAAAACCCTGAGCGACCAGAGAAAGAGGTGCATGCCCACGCAAGGGATAGACCAGCCAGCGGTCAGGTGATGCTGCTGCCCATGGCAATGTCCCTCACATCGGGGCAAGACGGCCCTTGCTCTGACCACGAACCTCTCCCCTCCCAGCCGGGCCACCCAGGGGACACACCCTCCCTGGACTCTCAGGGTTGGCTGCCTGCTGTCCTGGTCTGCGTGTGGAAGGACCAGTGCGCTATCCCGCAGGCACGAGGCCACCCACAGGCCTGTCCCCCAGCCCAGGGACACCGGGCCCTCCAGACTGCTGAGTCCGACCTGTCCCTGCTCCTCCTCGCTCCGTTCCCCGGCAGAGCCAGGCATGCAGGGTGTGAAAGAGACAGGGTCCTGCTGACAAGGCGGGGCACACACGAACAGGATGTGCTGTCTGCAGGTTTGGAGGCAGAAGTCGAGAACCCCCACCATGGAACAGGACAGTACTCAAGAGGAACCCAGAGGCCGGGAGAAGGACTAGCAAAGTCGAGCCTGGGCCCCTGATGGCGTGTGCACTGGCCAGGCTGTTTCTGGAATTCACACGAACGGGAAGCAGTTAGGGTAGAACTCACTCCACAGGGCTGGGGTGTGGCTCAGTGACCAAGCGCTGGCCCTGCGAGCACAAGGCCCTGGGTTCCAGCCCTAGCACTCAGAAAAGAAAAGTGACAGGAAGCTTGGGTGGGGGCGGGGTCACTTAGGCTCCAAGTTCGGGATCACCCTGGGCCTCAAAGGAAGGGCCCATCTCAAAAAATAAAATGTACTTAGAAAAAGGAAGAACTTAGATGAAAAACAGAATTCCTCAAGTGAGGCAGGACCCAGCCACCCTGCCAGGCATGGGCCAAGCTCCCGACCCCACTCCACCACTCCTGGTCCCCTGGGCACGGTGCTGGCAGGGGGCCTCGGGGCAAGACGGGCTCCAAGGGGGCCTGGCCATCTGCTCTGGACACTGCTGTGACAGCCCTGTTACTGTCACTTCCAGGCGCGGCTCTCTTTCCACCCCAGCTCATCGGTGCTTCCCCGAGCCGGGCTGACTCTGGACATGTGGCCTGCTGTGGCCTGCTGTGGCCTGCTGGCTCTGCCCACCTCCTGGGGCCTCAGCCCTCACCTCTGATGCTTCCCAGAACAACGATTTTCTGCAAACCCGTTTCTTTTTTTCTTGTTTTTGAGACAGGGTGTCTCTCTGTCGCCCAGGTTGGCCTCAAACTCACCGTGATCCCCTGCCTCAGTTTCCCCAGTGCTGGGATGACAGGCAGCAGCACCACGCCCAGGGATCTGTTCTCTTTTGAGCTATTCTTTTCCTCAGTTTAACTTATATTCCAGGATCACGGGTCCACTACACAGCACCTTATTATGGAAACTGCAACTTCCCCCTAGCATGGGTGGCAGTTTCCTTGGCCTGATAAGACTGCTCAGCTAGTCCAGTGCAACAATTTAGACCTCTGTGGCCTTGGCTCCTTCAGAGCTAGTGCTGACACTCAGAAGACAGCCTCTTCTTTTGTTTTCTTTTTGGTAGTACTAGGCGTGGAACCCAGAGCCTCGCGCATTCCAGGCAAGTGCTCTACCACTGAGCTACACCCAGTCCTTTTTACTTTTTTATTTTATTTTTTTGGTACTGGGGATTGAACTCGGGTCCTTGCACTTGCGCAGCAGGCGGCGAAACCACTGAGCTAAATCCCCGGCCCCAGCCCTTTTTATTTTGAGACAGGTCTTGCTAAGTTGCCCGGGGTTGAGCTTGAACTCGCAATCCTCTGCATAGGGTGTACCTCTGCGCCCACTCAGGAGACAGCCTTAGGTCAGCCACACTGAGAACAAACTCCTCTCCCTCCTCACCACTACTTCTCTGGCTTTCTTTTGAGGCAAGTGGCTGGGACTCCGGTAACAGGAAGCCTCTCCCTGTCTTGGGCCGGCTGCGTCTCTGCCTCCTCAGACTCCAGGGGAGATGCCAGGCCTGGCCTGGTCTGCCCTGTCCTAAGTACAGAGTACTCATGTGCCCTTCCTCCAGTTCCGTATCACGAGCAGGCGCCAGTGCAGCTGCTGAGGCAGACACCTCAGGCACAGCGGAAAGGCAGCCTTGTCTTGTGGAGTTACTGGCAGGGCCCCTGAGGCTCCTCGGGGATGTGGAGAGGCCATGCTGTGGCATGGGGCGGCAGCGCTGGTCCTGAATGCGCAGTTTCCCATGGGGCACACTCGTCACCGACTGCGGCTAGTGAGGGCGAGGTGCAGCCTTCACCTCAGAACTTGACTGGGGCTCCGCGCCACATGGGCGGTCAGAAGTGGGCAGACCCGCTCAGAGGCTGGGCGCTCCACAGCCTTGGGGGCCGCGTGTCAGAACCGGCTCAGGCTCCCTGCATAAGGCTTCAGGGGAGGTGTGGGTAGACTGTCCCTGACCCCAAACCCTCTTTCAAAGCCCATTCCTTAGGTAACAAAACCCCAGAAAAGCGAAAGAGCGAAAGCCTCCCTGTCCCGCTGAGCTGGCACCAGGAGAGCAGCGTCTTCGGGTTACCAGCCCCGGGGAAATGCAGCAAAGGGAGGTGTGGCGCGAGGGATGCTTCTCTGTCTGCAGGGACAGGGCCTCTCCTGTGTGACGGAGGAGGCTCTCCACGCGACCACGTAAGGACAGCCTGGTGTGAGCCCCAGAGCGCTGTGGGGTGAGGACCCCAGGCAGCCCCGCGAGGCCACCCACCCACGTCTGCCCCTGCGGACCTTGGCACAGGCCAGCCTTCCCTACTGTGAACCTGAGCGTGGCTGCCGGGCCTCCTGGGAGCTTGGCCCCGGGTTCCCTGTGTCCCAGGTCCAAGCCCCCAGCCCTCCTGGAAGCCGACCCGGGCTGAGCTCGGGGAGGGCAGAGCACAGTCACTGCACATCTGCTCAGAGGGGAGCGCGGGGTCTCGGGCGGCGGGACGCCACTTCCCTCTCGCCTCGTGAGGCCTCGGCGGCATGCACGCGCCCACAACTGGGCTGCGTGGGCACCGGAACCCGGCATCGGAGTGGAGAGCCCGGCCGAGCCCACTCCACAGCCGACGCTGGCCTGCGCCGGGCCCGCCTTCCCTGAGCGCTGCCAGCTCGGAAGGAGCGGAAGGCAGGCCGGGCGTTGCAAAGAAGCCCCCAAGGACTTCGGTGCCCTGGCACCCTCGACTTCCCACAGAGGCGCAGATGTCTGGCTGGAGAAAACAAACGGGCCCCCCAGCATGGTCCTGAGACAGGGTCACGCAGGCAGCGGCTGGGCCGTGATCCCAAACCAGGTCCTGTGAGGAGACCAGGCCCGGGCCACCCTCCAGCAGATGGCGCCTGGAGGAGTCCCGTAGGTTCCAGAACAAATTACCACTGGGCAGCTCAGACTACAGGAATTCATCCTCCCAATCGGGGGTGGGCAGCTGGTCTCCGCCCCGTCTGTCCGAGGAGCCGCCCCAGGCCTCTGGCGCCCTCTGGTGGTGGCAGCAGGCTCGGCACCCTGGCTTGTGATTCGCTAATCTCACAGGGCAGGGTCTCTCTGTCCTCTCCTCATAGGACAGCAGGTGCTGGATTAGGGCCGGCCCAACTCCAGTGCGACCTCATCCTTTTTCTCCTTCTTTGTCCTCTCTTTTGTTTGTTTTTCTGTTTGTTGAGGCTCTTGCTCTGCAGTCCGAGTTGGCGTTGTATTAGCTACACAGCCTAGGCTGGTCTTGAACGTGCAATCCTCCTGCCTCAGCCTTCCAAATGCTGGGATTATGCACTGCCGTGACTCACCTGTGCCTTCATCTGAACCAACTACACACGCAGCAACCTGATGCCAATGAGGTTCGACGCTGAGCTGCTGAGCTCAGGACTTGAACCTGCCTTTCTGGGGGAATCACTTGGCCTGCAGGAAGCCCAAGGTCAGTCCTGGACCAGCCTGGGCAGTCCTTGTGGAGACAAAAACCACTGTCCTCCCGGGCTCAGATCACTCAGGCACTGCGTGGGAAGCTGTGTCTCTGGGACAAAGGTCCAGCCTCTTAGCCAGGCTGATTATGAAAAGCTCCACGGTTGCCACGAACACGGCAGTGCACACTGGATTCTCCAGACCAAGGAAGCCAGCGGGGTGGTCACAGGACTTCAGAACCCAAAGGGGAACAAGTCACCGGGGTCCACTGGCAGCGACGACCTGGGAGACACTGGCATCCCTGCCTGGGCCCAGGCTGCTGGCAGCAGTGCCCTGCTTCCCAGCCTTCCTGTTCCTTCCTTGGACGGACCAGCCTGCACCTCCAGAGGCAGTGGCTTCGTGCCAAGAGGCTCCAGTCTGAATGGTCCCCAGATGGCGGAGACAGGGTCCTGCCACGCGCTGACCTCGTGTGCCTGGCTGGACACTGCAGGGAAGGAACCACCCCTGGGCTCCACATGCTGCTCCAGAGGTGGGGAGGGCCACAAGCGACACATGCTGAGCGCTGCCTGGGTCGGCAGCTTCTTCCTCCCTGACAAGGCCAGCCAAGGCAGAGAAATGAATCGCTATGGGGCCAGACTCAGAGTGGCTGGCAGGGCTGGGACTGGGGGCAGGGGTGATGGTCACACCCTGCACCCCATCAGAGGAGGGGGGTGGCACACTGACCGATGGGCTGTCTGCCCTGGACACTGGATCTGAGCGTCTCCCTGCATCCGAGTGCACCTCAAAAGAATCAGCAGGGGAAAGAGACACCGAAGCCACTCATGGGCCTGGAACGAGCTGCTCCCCCCCCCACCCCCAGCTTCGTGGTGCCACAGCTGTGAGGGCTCAGGCAAGCTCCTCAAGGTCCCTGGGCCCCAGAGACCAGAAAGGTGCTGCAGTCTTAGAGGGATGGTGGGGCAGGCAGAGTGTGTGGCTCCTGACCACTGTCATCCCTGCTAAACACCACAAAGAGCTGCAGGGACAGATGTGACAAGAATGACCGCTATGCAGCTCCAAGGACAGAACCACAGCGACGACCTGCATTCACCACCGGTATTAGTCAGGTCTGGGATTTTCTTCAATGCTGGGGACGGAGCCCAGGGTCTCACTGTGTTGAGCATGTGCTCCGCTGCTGCCCTGAGCCAGCTCTGAGTCACATTCGGACCTGGGATCTTTATAATTCTCAAATGCTAAAGATGCCAAAAAGGTTCTGAATGCCAGTTTACCTGTTTTAATCCTTCACAGCTGCAGCCCACCTGTGCGTGTGCAGGAAGAGGACTGAGAAGGCCCGGCCAGTTCCCTGCAGCTGCTGGGCTGAGGTTCACAGAGCCAGCGGGGTGGCCAGGTGGGGGCACTTACCTGTGGCTCCAGCCTGGGGAGGGGCCCGTGTGCCCGCAGCCCCTGCACGGCCTGGTCTCGCTCCAGGGTCACAGCCCGCAGCACCACCTCCTGCTCCCGCAGCGCCTGCTCTGTCTCCTGAAGCTTGGCGGTGACCTGGGAAACACCAGCTGGGGGTGAGGACAGCACCGGCCTCCCGAGCAGAGCCAGCCCTGCTCTGCCTGTGGGCCCAGGGTGCCGGGCAGGAGTGACAGCCATCCTGTCCAGCCGGTGGCCGGCCGCTCCTGCTGGGTGGGCTGCACACGGCAGGCAGGGTCTGTGCCATACCAGTAAACCTCGCTGTGCACCAGAGGGACACGAGCTGCACAACGAGGCCCTGCTAGAGGCTGGTGGGCAGGGCAGGGACTTGTCTTTATTACTGTGACTTTACTACTGTGAGTGAACTGGTCAGTGAGGCCTGGTGCTTTCAAATGTAAATGCACAGAACCCACCCGGCCACAGCACTGAGTGTGCCCCAGGCCCGGCCTGGCTCCATGCAGCAGGGCCAGGGAGACTGCACCAGCGGCACCTCGCACCTGATCTCTGGCCTCCATCAGCCCCTGGATCAAGGCCTCTGACCTCTGGATCTGGTCCCTCTCGATGTCGTCACAGCGGCGCTGCCAGTCCAGACCCAGCTGCACCTGGTCACGCTCCAGGCTCCGTTCCCTCTCAACAGCCTGGGACAGCTGCTGTTTGTACCTGGGGACAAGTCCAATGGCCCACGTTAGTGTTTCTCGGGTCCAGAGGGGTGTAGCACGAGGGAGGTGCCCTTCTGTCTCCCACAGTGAGTGCTGACGTAGGATGTGCCCAGGGCTCGGAGGCCGAGGGAGGCTGCTGCAGTGTGGTGGACAGGCAAGGGCAGAGGCTGAGCTCACCGAACACGGGAGACCCAGGCCGTGAGGAAAGCAGAAGCACCGATGTGCAGGAGGACCAGGGAGGAAGTGAACAGACCCAAAAGCAAACTGCTGAAACCCTGAGGAGCAGGCAGATAGGACTGAGGCAAGAGGCGGTGAGTTCAGCTGAGGCAGTGCAGAGGGAGCAGAGGCAGCAGAGCCACCACTCGACACCGGAGGAGGAGGCAGGAGAGGCACCGACGCCAGCAGCAGGCACTGGGCGAGGGCACCACCACCACGATGAAGGGCAGCACGAGTGCTCAAGTGGAAGGCCCAAAGAGAAGCCAGAACCTCACCGAACGTCCACGCTCCAAGCGAGGAGCAGGGAATGAGAGAATATAGTAACTGAACACTGTCAGAATTGGGGATCCAGAGAGCTGTTCTTGTTGCCTGCCTCGCAAGTGCAAGGTCCTGAGTTTGATACCCAGTACAAAAGAAAAAAAAGAAAGAAAGAAAGAAAGACAACATAGTGAGGCCAAGGGAAACAGAAGAAAGAATATAATAAAGAGTAGATAGCGATGAAACTGAAAATGGAAAAGAATTAAGAAAGTCAGGGGAGGGCCAGGGATTTAGCTCAGTGGTTCCGCCACTTGCCTTACAAATGCAAGGTCCCGAGTTCGATCCCTGGTACCAAAAAGAAGAAAGAAAAAGAAAGTCAGGGGAGGAGCCAGGTGTGGTGCTGCACACCTGTGATCCCAACACTGGGAGGCTGAGGCTGGAGGATCGTTGTGAGTTCAAGGCCTGAACTACACAGTGAGACCCTGTCTCAAAAAAAAAAAAAAAGAATGAAAAAGAGAGAGAGGGCTGGGGCTGTAGCTCAGTGGCACAGCACTTGCCTAGCACGTGTGAGGCTTTGGGTTCAATCCCCAAGGACCCCTTAAAAAAGTCACTGGTACACAGTTAAGATGGGGTGCTTTATTTTATTTACACTGTTTCTCAGTAATGCTGACTTCAATACATTACTGAAAGTAGATTATCTTTGCAGAAGCACCAGTTCCTGAACTGCTAAGACAGACATCAGGACAGCAGCAGGCAGACAGGGGTGACCCCGAGTGACTCCCGGCTCTCCCGACAGTGAAGGCCCTCCCCTCCCTCCCCGGCTCTCAGCTCGCCCACCCTCCTGGCCACTGTGCTGGGTCTCTGCTCTCGGCTTCGGGTTTCAACAGAACCAAAGGAGCAGGAGGAAGGGTTGTTTGGTCTTCATCCTTGGACCCAGAGGGGCTCCCAGCCCAGGAGGCGCCAGCCTTGGGGACCCGAGTTACCTGTCCACGTCCTGCTGGGCTCTGGCCAGCTGCGCCTTGAGCTTCACCTCCTCCTCCCGCAGTGCCTGGGCCTGCAGGCCACTGGAGACCACCTCCCTGGACATCTGCGCGACCTGTGCATCCCAGCCAGCTTGCAGAGCGGCTGCCTCGTCGCGGAGCCTGAGCAGAAGGAACTGTGTGAGTTGGGGCTTCCTGCCTGCACCCCCAGGCGCTGGGCTGGGAGGAACCCGACAGACATGTGTGCGCTCACTGGGCCCAGAGGACCCCAGAGCAGAGCTCGAACTTCTGGCCTGGACGCAGGCAACACATGGGAAGAAAGAGCCACAGGTCCAGCAGACTCAGCCCAATGCTGCCTCACACTGCCGGTGCGCCCGGTGCAGGGCTGGGCCAGGCAGGAACGGGAGCCCAGCGCCCACAGAGCCTGCAGCCATGCCCAGCAAGCATCTCACGAGCCTTCAAACTGAATGCAAAACAAGGCTCCTTCGTGCCCACTGACAATGAGCAGCTTACCTGAGAGTCATTCGGCAGGTGTCACCTCGACCAGTCAATTCTGGTATTGGATAAATTTGATGAGATTGTTGTTTTTATATTTCCTGTTATATTATCTTATCAAAATGAATGAAAAATATACGAAAGTTTTGGTCACCCTGTATTTAAATAACTGGACTGGTAGGTGGTTATAGCTTTCCAATAGAATGCCTCTAGAAGGGTTACCGAAAGCTGGGTAATTTCCCAAGCAACACTGAGAGAAGACACCTAGAAATGCTCACTAGGCAGGCACGGCTCTACCCTAAGCAGGAGGTTGCCTGCCCGTGGCCTGACCATGCCCTGCTGTCCTCACACCCGGCTTTGAAGGCTGCCGAGCTGGCCAGAGGCCACCCCATCGCCTTGGACAGACCTGGGGGCCCGTGCCCAGGAGCTGCGGCTCAACACACTGGCCAGCGGGGCAGGCAACCGTGCGGGTGGATGGAGGGCCCAGGCACACCTGACAGGTGCGTTTCAAGCCCGGTCTTGTGCAGAGTGGAAACAGTGACCTCACCACACCTTTGGATGTGTTTTGAAAAGCAGGGCTGGAGACAGGCATACCGAGGGCGTCGTTTCCAGACACCCGGGGCAGGCTGTCTGGCTTCAGACGTGGTCACTGCCACCCCACGCTGGCATCTGGTGCCCGAGGAGACAGACTGCACTCGGTGCCAGCTCTGCCCACGAGGCCAGCCCACACCCCTCCAGCCTGTCCAGGTGCCACAGACACAGCCGCTGCGCTCTCACCACAGACGCAGGAGGACACAGCCAGCGGCAGACTCGTTTCCATCCACCTTAGTCCTATAGGTGTGCTCTGGGCTCCGAACTCCACGACAGCATAAGACTGCACGCATGGAACTCCCCAAGGCCTGGGGCCCACTTACCGATGACTCACACTCAGCGAAAGAAGCCCCAGAGCTCATGCAGAGCCCACAAACCCGCTTTCTAGTCCAGAACAACACCCCTCTGTGTGGAAAGGAGAAACCACTCCGGGACAGGAAGTAAAGGAGAGTTAAGCAAGCATTACTTAGGAGCCCGAAGAGGAGGCTGAGACCCCTGAGACCCAGCAGGCAGGCTGGGCACTGGGTGAGGCCTAGGACAGCCTCAGACTCGCCCGCCTGTGACAGAGCCTCGGGCCACACCCTCCCTGGGTCCAGTCTCCTGGCTCTCCAGCCTCTACTGCCGGAATCTTGCTCCTCAAACTACCCAAGGGCAAATTAATTCTAAGGGAGTGATTCCAAATAGATCGACCTTCCGGCATTTCACAGTTTAAGAGCCCCCTACCCAAAGGAGAAATAGAACTTGGCAGAGAATTTTCTGTAGGGAAAAGAGAAGGACTCCCCGAAGGGAAGGGCGCCAGCCTCAAGGCCCCTAATCACAGCTTCTCCAGGGCCGGGCCTCCCCGGGGCTCCCTCCCTGCTCCGTGGGCAGCTGCTCGGGCTTCAGCCGGGTGATGCACAGGAAGGAACAGGGCTCCTGGAGAGGTGGGGACCTCCTGCACTGCTGCGGGGACTTGACGGGGCACGGCCACCATGAAAACCACGGGCAGTCTCCAAGTTATGCACAGAGCGGCGCGAGCCAGCGGTTCTTTCCCAGCACGTCTGCAGAAGAGCCCACAAGGGTCCCAAAGAGACATCTGGACACCCGTGTTCACAGCAAGATTATTCACAAGAACCAGAGACAGAAAGAACCATGTGCCAATCACCAGAGAGGAGGATAAACAAAATGTGGTGTCTCCACACGATGGCATATTATCTCGCCTGAAAAAGGAAGGAGATTCTGACTTGATAAGTATTGAACTGTGCACTTTAAAATGGTTGAGATCATTTTATGTTACATATATATATATCTATATATATATTTTTTTGAGACAGGGTCTTGCTATGTAGTGCGGGCTGGTCTTCTACTCATTCTGCAGCCTAGGCTGGCCTCGAACTCGAAGCAATCTTCCTGCGTCAGCCTCCCCAGTGCTGGGATGACAGGCGTGCGCCAACATGCCCAGCGCTTGTTACATGCATTTTTTTCACGTATCTTTAAAAGTAAATTTTATTTTATTTTATTTCATCCCATCCCCCCCAAGCCTCCTCCCCTTCCTATGTCATCTGTATTTTAACACAAAAAGTCTGAAGGATGAAGCTCTGACCTAGGCTGTACCGCAGATGGACCGTGAGGACCCTATGCTCAGCGAGATAGGCTCATCACAGAGGACAAACACCACAGGACTCCAGTTTCCGTGCAGTTCCGAGTGATCACATTCACGGAGAAGGAAAGCAGTGTGGGCTGCGTGGGATCAGAGGAGGGGACACAGAGCCGTTGAATAGGCACTGAGGCTCAGCTGGGGGAGAGGGCTGGAGGGGCGGTGCAGGTAGCACAAGCACGGCAGTGTGCGTGACTGATCCCAGCGGCCCGTGCGCCTGGAAGCGGTTAGAAAGGTAAATTGCATACTGCATATCCCTTCCCACAAATGGTAAGTGCACTGACCTACACATGCAAACCACACAACTTCAGAAACGAGAAAAGGCAGGGCTGCTGAGAGGAAGGTGCACCCAGCTGGCCGCTGCCGCTTCCCTGGTCTGACCAGCAAGCCGGCACACAAAGGGCACCGACCCTCAGGGCGGGGCGGGTGGGGCGGGCGGGGCGGGCCGGCCCCAGGCTCACCTGGCAATGACGGCGTCCTTCTCCCTGGCGGCATCCGCCTGAGCCCACTCGGCCCTGCGCAGCTGCCCGTCGAGGCTCTCGCAGTGGGCCTGGAGTTCCTGCAGCCTGGCCTGCGACGCCCGAAGCTGCTCCGCGTGGGCGCCCTTCACCGCCACCAGCGCGGCGTCTCTCTCTCTGGCCAGACGGTCAAGCTCCTCGTGTCTGAAACACCGGGAGGGATCCAGGCCAGCTCACCCGGGGCCCTTTCTCAGCCCTCGGCTGTTGCTGTCCGCTTGTCCCTGGCAGATGCCACTCTGCATGCAGCTCCTGCCCTCCGCTCTGGGGCCCTGCTCTCGCTCCACCACGTAAGCACAGGCAGACTTTCTGAGATGCCACGGACCATGAGGCGTGAGATGGACACACAACAGTCCTAACGCCCGTGCACAGCAGCCCTGGGGTTGGTTCCCTGCAGCCCACAAAAGCGGAGGTGCAGGTGCTGCCTGCCGTGCCTCGGGTGCCCACCAGGTCTAAGGCACGAGCTCTGTCCTGTGCAGCCACTGAGTATCCCGGGACTAAATTATCTAAGTGTGCCTGCTTCTCATCCTTCGTCCGGCGAAGTAGTTCCGAGACTCAGGTTTTCGCCGAGGGCTCCTGCTGCCCTGGGACAACGGGCCTCACCACCCAGGTGGCCCATGAAACCAACTCCGCCAGCCTCAGGTGTGTGTGTGGGGGCTTCTGACTCCAGCCCTCGACTCAGAACGAGGTGCTGTGCTTGCTTTGGCTGCCACACGAGTCCCCTCTGCGGGACGCGTCCTAAGGTTCCCAGCCTTCCTGCACGCGGCCATCACAGGCGCCTCTGAGGGCGACAGTGGCGCGAGACAGCTGTGCAGCAGCAGGATGGGAGCCCCAATCTGACCAGAGCACCTCTGCTGGCCCTTGGCATACCAGGTAGGCGCCAGGCCTCCGCTGCTACCCGGTGGGAGCTCATGCCGCTGACAGCCGTGCCGTGGGGAGGCCCGAGGTCCATGCAGAGGAAGACACTGCCCTGCCCACTCAGCCCAGGGTGGGGACTGCAGGCCCTGGGCCTAGCTGTGCCTGTGGTGTGGGAGCCAAACCCTATCTCACACACGCATTCTACTGAATAACTACGAATCTTAGTTCTACGGTACAGTTTTGTAGATTATGGACTGATAATTATTTCACTTTAGAAACCTTCCTGAACTGTTAGCAACTTTTTTTGGTATCAGGGATTGAACTCAGGACCTTGCAGTTTTGAGGCAGGCATTGGCACCACTGAGCTAAAGCCCTGGCCCAAGTTAGCACCTTTTGACTCCAGCAAATGTTATTATTTTTAGTTTATACGACTGTACGTAGTTGCTGTGGGTGATTGATTTTAAGCATAAAAAACATAACGTGTTCAGCCCAGGTATGATAACACATGCCTGTAATTCCAGCTGCTGGGAGGCAGAGGCAGGAGGATCAGGGTCAGTCCAGACAACTTAGTGAGACTGTATCATAAAATAAATAACATAACATAAAGCAGTAAAATAAAAACAATAGCTCAGGCAAAACCCTGTGGGAAGCAGACTGAGAAGAGGGAGTTCAAGGAGGAAGGCCTATGGCACAAGGTCCCTGACCGCCAGGGGAAGTGGTCTCAGGTATTCTGAGTCACAGCAGTGGGCTCGAAGTCACTGTGTGTTTAGATTACCCCAGGGGCGTCGGGAACAGCGACTGGACAGCCTGGACTCCTCCGTGCAAGAAAGCGCACCCTTCCCACTGGTTTCTGCTTCTGACCTGAAGAGACTCGCTGCGGCTTTCAAACACGCACACGGACAGTGTCTCCGTCTCAGGCCTGCTCCCCGCCCGCTGTGCTCTGCCCCGCACCCTCTGCCTCAGTGCCCTCATCTAGGTGAGGGCACAGGCCACTCTCACCACCACCGCTGTGACACAGGAGGCAGGCCAGGTGCGGTGGTGGCACATGTCTGTCGTCCCAGCACTTGGGAGGCAGAGGCAGGAGGATCGCTTGGAGTTTGAGGCCAGCCTGGGCTACATAGCAATGAGACCCTGTCTCAAAAAACAAATACAGGGCCAGGGATTCAGCTCAGTGGTTCTGCTGCCTCTGTCACAAGCGCAAGGATCCAAGTTTAATCCCGGGTACCAAAAAAAGCAGAGCAGAGCACCTGTGCAGGCCCCAGCAGGCCTGGCCTCTGCGCCAAGGCCCAGGGACCCTGCAGGAGGCCCACAGCTCCACCCCTTGACACTCACTTCCTGGTGAACGTCTCCTCGTCTTTCTTCCTGGCCAGCTGTGCAGAGTGAAGTGTCGCCTCTAGGTCCTTTATCCTACACACAGAACCAGGGGGAGAGCGGATAAGTGGTCTGCTGGTGAGGATGGGCCACCAGGCAGGCCAGCTGACCTCAGCCCACACACCGGGCGTCCTTCACGGCTTCCAGGTCCCGGAGCTCCCAGCCGCAGCCCTCCAGCTTCTGCTCTAGCTTGGCGTTCGCTGCCTCTGCTCTCTGCAGGCACTCGGCCGCCTGAGCTCCCGCGGCCCTCAGTGCCTCCAGCTCTTTGCTCAGTAGTTTAACCTGAGAAAGGTTTCGGCGGCTCAGCGGGAGCAGGACAGAGGCCCATTTGCCGCTGCCCTGGGACTCAGACTTCCCAGCACCCTGGCCTTGTCTTCACACCCAGGGTGGCCCGCTGGGACTGTGAGTCAGGGAAATGTGCAAACCTCAGAACCAGGATGTAACTGGAAGGAACTGAGATATCAGAGGTAAACAGGGCTGTTTCACCAGGACATGGGAGAGGAAAGAAAACGAACCCTCAAGGAGCAGGAAGCACTGGAAATGTGCTCATATCCATCCCCAGTGAAAACTCAGCCAAGGCCGAGGCCACACTCGGGGTCCCGCCCCTTGAGGGTCTCACAGGCCCACTGGGTTCCACTCATTTACCCACAAACTGGAGTGCTATTTACACACAGGCCCACCATCAGAGCAGGGGAGCAGACAGTGCGGCTGGCTGCCCAGCATCCCGGCTGCAGGGCTCCAGGCCGTGCCTGGGCGGTCAGGGCACTGTGGGCGGAGGGGGCCCAGGAGGTCCCCAGGCGGGCGGGAAGGTGCCGCTTGGGCAATCACGGTGAACTCTGCTGCGGGGCTGGGGCGGTTTGCTGCCTCACACGGCAGAGCAGATGAAGGTGACAAGGTCCCCCATTACCCCCCGAGGTGCTCAGAGGCTCCCACAGTGGCTTTGTGAGGGTCCCTGTGGATCAGCCGTGGCCTCGAAGCCGGACAGCCTGGGTCTGGCTCGGCCAACACTGCCTCCGAACACCTACAAGGACAGGCCAGCAGGCCACCATGGTCTTCACACAGGGCTCCAGGGCCAGGAAGGCACAGGTGGACGTGGATGGCATTGACACCTGTGTGGAGGTAGGACAGGGCTGCTGGGCCTGGGCCCGAGCCACTCCTATTACCTGTCCACTGCCCTCCAGGGTCTTTTCCCCTGGCCCAGGGCCCGGTGCTACCCCTGGACTGCTGTGGAGAGGCTGGGCGGCTTGGGGGAGGGCTTCGGAGGCTGTGTGTGGCCCAGCAGGGACCAGCAGGGGTCAGAGCAGGTGTCACCCTCCACATCCTGCCCCTTTGCAGCCCCCTCAAAGGCCAGTCCCTGTCCTGAGTCCTCCATGTACGAGGTGCAAGCTCCTCACACCCTGGCAGAATGCAGGGCGGTGCTTGGGCTGTGCCCACAGTGCCCGGTGTCCCATTGGGGAGGCCCTGGCTCCAGCTTGCTGTGCACCATGTGTCAGCTTCAGACAGGCCCTGGGCCTCCAGAGCCTGGTGTCCCCTGTCACAGAATGGGGAGACGCCTCCCCTTTGCCTGCTTTGAGGCTCTCATGGGCAGTCTGCAGGGGCAGGACTTTGCCCTGGATGGAGGACACTTCCTCCAGGCCTGGGCACCAGGGCTCCTAGGCTGGAGAGTGGTTCTGAGCTGGGCCCTGCAGCGGGTGGCTCCCCTGCGCCTCACAAGGCCGCCCCGCACCAGCCCTCCAGCCGAGGCCCTGGTGGGAACCGTCTAAGTCACAGCTCAGAAGTCTCTCCACTCCCCGCTGTTCAAAGGCCGGGCTTCCTGCCGACGTGAGAGGTGCCTGCTACCTTGAGCTCATGGGCCAAGACTGTGCTGCTCATGCTGTCGGCCTGCAGGCGGAACTCATGCTCCTTCTTCTGCATCTTGGATTCAAACTCCAGCAGCAGCTCCTGAACAGAAAAGGCTCACAGTGGAGGAAGACAGCAGGGCTCAGCGAAGGACCCTCAAGGTGTCAGTAAATCAGGGCAGGGTGTAGTGGCTGACAAGGGGCCACCACGCACACTGGTGGAGAGGCTGGGGATCAGTGACACCAGCAGCAGCGAGCCACAGGCCACCACAGGCCCAGGGAGCTTGGAGCCCGGCAGCACCTGTGCCCCATCAGTCCCTGTGAGCAGTGGGGAAGGTGCTGGCTGGTCCTGGTCCCAAGTGGGCTCCAGGAGGTGGCTAGGGCTGCAAGGCCAGCCCGGCCCAGCCTGCTGCGCCAGGCTCACACGGAGCCCCTCTGCACCTGCTCCCTCTCTGCCCTCCACCAAGTGTGACCAGTCCGGGTCCACACTGCGTGGATCCTCCAGCCACCAGGATCATGAACCAAATAAGCCTCGCTCATACACTAACTGGTGTCAGGAGTGCCGTTAGAGCAACAGGAAGGACACAGGACAGTGTGGCCCTGTCTGCTCCTCCCTTTGCTGGCTTGCTCAGCACGGGGAAGCCGCCTGTGTCCAGGTAGAGGACCAACTGCTGCAGCTCCCAACCAGTGAGCCTCCCTAGCTGAGCCCTCCCCAGGACCACCCACTCCGCCAGGCTCGGGACCTAGAGGGAGGCTCGGAGAGAGCCTCAAGAGTGTGGCCACCGCTGCCCCGTCCTGGTAGGCACCTCCTGGCCCTGGCTACTGGGACCCATGGTGACACCACCTGGCAACGGAAGGGCAAGCTCTGCACCTGCAGCTGAGTACGGGGGAGCCTCAGAACACCGCAGAAAGCACAAGAGAAAAGACACATCTGGCTTTTCTAATCCTCTGAAAGGCAAAGCCGAAAGAGAGGGGTCCCATGACTGCAGTGAGAAGGTGACAATCAGGAGTCACTGGGGCTAACGCAAGATCACGAACCACCAGGGAGAAAGGGCTGCAGGCTGTGGCCACTAGGGGGCAGGAATGCCGCGCGTGCTTCGCGGCCGCAGACGCCGGCCTAAACCCCTATCAGTGCCGCCGGCGCTCTGGGGTCCCCAGCCCGAGGGAGGAGACATTGCCTCCCTGACGCATCACCACCCCGCCCTCTGCTCCCAGACCAATTACTAGACTGGCGTCCCAGCAGGTCCCTAACCGCGGGGCAAAGGTGACCCACGAGGGGGTGCGCCACACTTCAAAAGAACTACCTGCGTTCCTGATACAAGCAGAAATCGGGGGAACACATGTGGGGACAGGCGTTAGGGCAAGGTACAAAACGCTGGGTCGGGGGAAGCGAAGTGGAGGTTCTGCCAACTCCCAGCGCGGGCAGTTCGGAAGGGCGCCACCTGCTGGCCGCCGGGCGCATACCAGAGGGCCCACAGTGAGCGCGCTGGGAAGGGCGGCGCCGCTGCGCGGACTCGTGGAAGAAGGGGACAGGAGACAATTTTCACCAGCACTCTGAGGACCAGGTTTGTGAGGGAGCCCCAGCAGCCCTGAGAGGCTCCTCGACTGCCCGTCTCTCTACGTCAGGCTTTACCAGGGGAACCACAGCCCAGGCACCGAACCCTCAGCGCCCTGAGAAGCACCGGGTCGGGGGCAGGGAACAAATGTCCTCGCTCATTGGCCAGCGAGGCGCAGGCCAGCAGCGGCAAACCCGAGGTCAGAACTGCTGACCACGGACCCCGGCGGCGAGACAGAAAACCTAAGGTCTGACTGGACAGGGGTTAGATTTTCATGGCTGTGACCAACCTGAGAAAAACAACCTAAAGGAAGAAAGATTGACTTGGCCTGTGGTTTCAGGTTTCCGTCTATGGTCCTGGCTCCACGGCTTTTAGGGCTGCGGGAGACACAAACATGGCAGAGGGTGTGGCAGTGGAAAACCAGTCCCCTTGGGGCAGCCAGGACGCAGGGAAAAGGAGAGTCAGAGAGGATGAGGCCAGGGACCAGATACAGTACAACACCATGCGCCCAAGACCCATTCCCTCAACTGGGCTGCACCTCTCAATAGCCCATTCATTGATCCACTAGTAGTGGACTGATCCATGATGAGTTAACACCCTCCAGATCCAAGCACTTCCTCAAGCCTATCAGCGGGCCTGAGGGGTTTTTTGTTTTGTTTTTTGAGACAGGGTCTCCCTTGGTAGTCCAGGCTGGCCTTGAACTCTGGTGATCCTCCTGCCTCAGCCTCCAGAGTGCTGTATCAGCTGGCCTTAGGGCTTCATTTTAGACCCACACTGTAACAAGCAGAAAACTTGCAGGGCAGGTGAACAGAAGTCTATCTTGAATCCTAAGAACAGTCTTGGCTCCTCAGTCAGTCCCCAGACCTGGGCCAGTCTGAGCCACAAGCCCTGGGGTGAAGAGAGGCGTGGTCCCTGAGAAGCAGGCTGCTGCACACCGAAAGTCAAAAGTCACGCGGCTACCTGTTCTCCCACCCTCTTCCAAGGGACTTACGCCTTTTACCAGGCTCCCTGTGCACCAGGAAAAGAAAATCATCAGACCTTTTGGGGCCTTCTGGACAACAGCTCTGAGCTGACGTTGACTCCAGGAGCCTGGAATCATTAGGTGACTCTGGGGTTTAGCTCAGGCCTGTCTCACAGCGCTCTGGTGCATCCCCAAATACACAACGGGGAGAGACGCACTCAGCGGCGAGCAGAATCCTGAACTCGTTCCCTGGCCTGCAGGGTGAGGGCCACCGTGGTGTGAAAGGCCAAGTGGAGACCACCAGAACTCTATCCGGGAAAAGAGCGAAGCAAGAGCAACGAGGCTTCCCGGGAGGGGCTGGAGAGGTCTGGGCCCTGTCAAAGACTTGAAAGGTGAGGGCTGGCGGTTCCTGCCCTGCCCCACTGCACTCTCCTGTTTGCCTGTGCAGATGTCGGAGAAGGACAGAGGGTGAATGAAAGCTTACCCAGGGGCAGCTCCGACTGCAGCTGCCATGCCAGTTGCACTCACTGCCTGGGTTAATGAATGCATCCCCTTGAACACAGCTGCTATCAGCAAATGCTTTTCTTCTCCACCCTGTCCCCAACAGTCTGACCCTCCCTGCCCCACCGCGATAAGCTCTCCAGCCCAGGTCACAGCTCTGTTCACAAGGGTCACAATCACCTTGAGCTTCTGCAGGAAGCGATCACACTGTCTTACACTGACTGGATTGAGTGAGCAAGAGGCAGGAACTGGTCTAGTCTGATGGGTGACATTTGCGCGTCAGCAGGTGAGGAAAACATCTGATAAAATCCAAAGGCCTTCCACCTCCATGAAACCCTGGTGAGCTTTCCCTCAGACAGTGAAGGGCAAGTTGCATCTGGCCCCACCTGAGAAGCACAGTGCCTATCGGCATCTTCAGAGTTCACTCCAGCAATTTAGTTGGGTAACCTGAAAAGCTTCAGGTTTCCAGTGGGCCCAGAATACAACAAATTCAGGCTGTTCTGCTGCTCGGCCACTTGGTCCAGCAGACCGGATGGCACCTGGGGCGCTGGGGCAGGCAGCTTCTATAGAGAACACAATGCAGGCCTGACATCACCCACAGAGGACTACTCTCCTCCCCGCCTGATACTGGACCATCTCGAAAACTGAACACCTGACCATGAGCCAGCCAGGTGCCACGTGACCTGAGCTGCCAGTCATGAACTGTGTCCTCCGACCCGCCGAGCCATACAGTTTGGCGTCACTCAACAGAAACATAAGCTGCACAGCAGCCCCAGCGGGCCCTGCAAGCACAAGCAAGAGGCAGGAAGGAGAGACCCAAACGCCTCTGGCCCTGCCACTGCTCACTGCCTTCACCTTCCCAGCCTGCGCCGTGTGTGGCCTCAGCGAGCTCCTGACAGAGGAAGGGGGGGACACTCCTGGTTTTCAGGTGGCCTGCGTGATGTGGCCTCACCACAGAGGGTGGACGGCTGCAGCACTGCAGCACCTCTGAAGGACGCGGTCCAGGGAGAGGGCGAGCAGGGGCCAGCTGCAGATCTACCTGTCTCTGCAGAGCAAGTTCGCCATCGAGTTCCTCGAGCGTCCTCTCCAGCCTCCACTTCAGGTTCTCGTACTGCTCCCGCTGGTGGTCGATCTCGCCGTTCTTGTCACTGTGGTGAATGGACATGGCACCAATAAAGCCACACAGAACACTCTCCAAACGGACACACTGGCCAGGGCCCTACATGGGGAGCTGGCGCTCTGCTTGTGCAGCGGTGGTGGCGGCTGGGCCCAGAGGGAGCAGGACTTCCGCCCCAGACCTGCCTACTGCACCTGACCGGGGTGTGCACAAACCAAACCCCGACAGGCCTGGCTACCAAGAACTAGGAAAAGTGGACTGACAGAGGCCAACACAGACAACACAGATGTGAGCAAGCAATTTAGAAAAACAAATGGAAAAAATATAAAATCTCAGCAAAGAAAAAGAAGATAGAGCAAAGAATCAAACAGATTTTTTTTCAGTACTGGGGACTGAACCCACAGCCCCAGGCATGCCTGGCCAGTTCTCTGCCGCCAAGCTGCACTGCAGCACTTCTGAGTTGTTTTTCTTTCTTCTTTTTTTTTTTTTTCACCAGGGATCAAATAATCGAAGGGCATTCTACCACCGAGCTACACCCTGGCCCTTTTAAAAAAATTTTATTTTGAGACAAAGTCTTGCCATGTTGCACAGTTTGGCCTTAAACTTGTGACCCTCCTGCTCAGCCTCCTGAGGAGCTGGATTTATAGGCGTGTGCCACTGCACTTAGCTCAAATGGAAATCTGAAAACTGGAAAGTACATTAGCCAAAACAAAAGACTCACTGCATGGCCACAATGGCAGAACAAATAGACAGAAGGTGGAATCGGTGAGATGACAACAGAAATGAGCCAATCTGACAACAGAGAGAAAATAAATTTTTAAAAAATGAATAGAGTACTTGTGGGGTAATAACAAAAGATCTAACACTCATGCCACTAGAGCCCAGGATGGAAAGAGAGCGTGGGACTGAAAGAGTATTTAAAAATAGCTGAAAGGGCCCAGATGTGGAGAAAAAGAACAGGCAAAGGACTTAAGGAGACATGCCACAAGATAATGTGAAGCACTTTTTAAAAAATGTAAAGCACCTTGGGCCGGGGATTTAGCTCAGTGGTTCCGCTGCCTGCCTCCCAAGCGCAAGGACCTGAGTTTGATCCCTGGTACCAAAAAAATAAAAAAATAAAAAAAATAAAGCACCTTTAACAGGACACCTCAAATCCAAAACATCCGCAAGAAGGAAAGCCCATGCCCAGTGCACACATCTGTGACCTGTCCAGGCTGCAGCCACACAGGAGTGGGAGCCCGGCCCCTGGGGAAGGTGGCACAGTGCTGCAGTGCTGTGGCCAGTGACAGAGCTGCACGTCACATCTGCCCTGCCAGATTCTGCTGAGGACCATGGATGCCTGGGCCTCCTGAGGGCAGTGACTCTCTGTGACAGGTGGGTTTGCCGAGGGGCCTGGAAGCTATGCCTGTGGGTTCTCACAGGAGACAGTGGCTCCAGCAGGGGTCTGGGGACCAAAGTGGCGCCACACCCTCCCATGTGGTCCCCTCCCTTTGCACCTGCCCACCACAGGAAGTCCCTCGTGAGCAGGAATCTCAGCCACAACAGAAGGCCAGCAGGGCAGAACTCAACAGCCCACCATGGGGACAGCTGGAAGCAAGCTCTGGACAGCGTGGGAATCTCCCTGGATCCTTAACCACTCAGCCCGTCATCTTCTGGAAGAACATCGGGCTTCTGTGGTTGTAAAAAGTGCCTTCTTTGTTGTTGTTGGTGGTGGTAGTAGTAGGGGTTGAAGCAGGGCCTTTACACTGAGTTACATCCCCAGCCCTTTTTTAAATTTTTGAGATAAGGTCTAAATCACTGAATTGGCCAGGCTGATCTCAAACTTGTGAGCCTCCTGCCTCAGCCTCCCAGAATGCTAGGATTATAGGTGTGTATCACCATGTTTAAGTGCAGTGGCACACACCTGCAATCCAGCATTCAAGGGGCCAAGGCAGGAGGATCACAAGTTCAAGCCCAGCCTAGGCTACATAGTGAGACCTTGTCTCAAAAAAATAACACTGGGCTGGGGATTTAGTTCAGTGGCACAGTGCCTGCCTTGCAAGGGCAAGGTCCTGAGTTCGATCCCTGATACCAACCCCCCCCCCCACAAAAAAAACAAACAAAAAACCCCCTTAAAATGCTAGGAGTATGCAACAATATGGAAAAATCCTCCAGAACCCAGAGTGCTTGTACTTGCTGCTATGTGCACACACCACAAATGATAGACACTGCAAAACACACTCCAGGGCCAGGGATGTAGTTCACTGGTGCTGTGCCTGCCTCGCAACCACAAGGTCCTGAGTTTGATCCCTGGTACCAGGAAGAAACAAAGAAAAAAAAGGGACACACTCTGGTTCTGAATGTGATAAATCATGCTGCTTCTGAAATGCCAGGGGAGGGGAGGTCCTTGGAGGATTTTAAGCAATCCCTGTCTTTTTTTTTTTGGTGCCGGGGATTGAACTCGGGTCCTTGCGCTTGCGCAGCAGGTGGCAAAACCACTGAGCTAAATCCCCGGCTCTAATGCCTGTCTTATCTCTCTTCCATACTGACTTATCGAGACTCTGCACACACATGTGAATGTCGGGGACCACGAGTGCCAGAGGTCCGGCCAACACAACCTACAGATGGGCGCTGTGGGTTCTTATGTCAGCTTCCCTGAAGTCAGCTCATTTAGCTTTGAAATGAGTATGTATTCTACACTAAAATAATGACAGACTCGAGCATGTTTTATTACGATAACAGACCTATAGTTAATGAAACAAACTACATATTTAAAGGAACCCTGAACGATGTCGGCCCCAGGGGAACAGGTGCCCCGGCCCTTGCCCTGGGATGTGGAGACCGTGCTTGCTGGGGGCCAGGCTACGTGACGTGGGTCCTGCAGTCTGAGGCCCGTGTGACTTGCTTTGGAATAGGGAAACGCGTGGAAGGCTGCATGTTTCCTGGCTGTGTGGAGAAATCTCACAGTCACAGCTCCTAAGGCAAGGCAACAGCTGCTGAGGACAAGGCAAAGAAAGGCAGGAATCCAGGTATGGGGAAGGACTTAATCCCCATTAGCTTCTTCCCTTTGTTTGTGGTTTTTTTTTTTTGGTACCAGGGATCGAACTCAGGATCTTGGCAGGTTCAGTGCCACTGAGTAAATCCCAGGTCCTAGGAGTTCCTCATTTTTTACTGCCCCATTCTCACTGCAGTTGCTGTCCCAGGAAAAGTACACCATTCCTCCTCTGTGCGTCTGGATAGCTAAACAAGTGGGTCAGCTGTGGAGTTTATCAAGCTGTCCGCTAGAGGCAGGCTCCTCCCAGTCCCCCTTACACCTTGAATACTGCCTGTCTCTCATTGTTTTTGTTGGTACCGGGAATCAAATTTTCGAGGCAGGCGCGGTGCCACTGAGTAAATCCCCGGCCCGTCTCTGTCTCTTTTTATTTCCCATCGTCCCCCATGCAGGTATCCAAGGGATCGATCAGCTCCCGGCACGTGCACCCTGGAGTCTGGGGCTCAGGGTGAGGGCACAGTGTGAGTGGCTGGTGCCCGGGGAGTCGGGCGGGTGCAAGAGGCAGCCAGCCCTGGCAGCTGCAGCATTCTGCAGGGCCTCACCTCTGGATGCGGCCCAGCTCCAGGCGATGCTCCTGCAACCTGAGCCGCAGCTGCTCCTGCAGCTCCTCCACACGTCTGGCCTCTCTGGCGAGCTCCTGCTTCAGCTTGGCCACCTCTATCTTGAGCTCGCTCACCTCTGCCTGCCTGGCCTCCTCCTGGGCCCTGGCCTGGGCAAACGCAGCGTCATAGCGCTCCAGCTCACGGTCCCGCTCCTCCAGCACCTGTAGGTTGTAAACGAAGTCCTCCTGAAGGCGCCGTAACTTCTCCCTTGCCTCCTCCAGCTGGCGCTGAGTGTCCTGCAGAGCTGTCTCCTGCAGCTGGCTCCGCTGGGCCTGCAGCACACGCCACTCCTGCTCCTTGCGCATCAGCAGCTTGTTCAGGGCCTGCTCAGAGCTCAGCATGGTGGCAGCTGCAGGAGAGGAAGGGGTGTGCGCACCGTCAGTTACTCTGGCCTTTCTTTTCCGATGTCCACCTCGTGGCTACCAGAGGCAGGATGGAGCTGGGCCCAATAACAGTTGTCTGGTCACACCACGGCTCTGGGGAGGGACAGAGCCACCAGGTAATGCCAGGCCCAGACCTCAAGGGCTTGCCTGCCCCTTGGCCATGGGCTGCTCTGCCCTAACCTCATCCTACAGCAAGGAGAAGTAGAGGAAGGCAGATGGAAACACTGTTTGTACACCAACAAGAGCTAGGTTCCATAAAAGAGCTTCCTGGAGCATAAAGGAGGGTAGGTATTGGGAAGTACGAAGAACATGCTCAAATGGGAAGGGAAGAGAAGGGGAAAGGGGAAACAAAGAGGATAGAAGGGAAAAATGGAAACAATCCTTGGAAGGAGAGTTGAAAGGAGAAGAGGGGAACAGGAAAAAGAAGAATCAAGACATAATATGTCTAGACCTGCGTTGGCACAAAATTATCCACTTCCTGCTTCAGGATTTGGTAAACCCAAGGGGGAATGAAGCCTGGGCTACAGGGTGACTTAGTGAAGCTGCCGGGGCTGGCAGGGGCCTTGCTGCCTCCAAGTGACCTACAGCTCACTGCTCTCAGCGCTGTGTCGCTGGGGCAGCCCGAGCGCCGGGACTCAGCTGCCTGGATGCTGAGCCAGTGCAGTCCTGAGGCAGAAAGTGGACGCGTCTGTGCAGACACCGCTGGACGAGCCGGAGTGGAATTCCACGGCCAAGGGCCGGCGGTGAATGGTCTGGGCGGGGCACCGTCCACTCGGGTTGTTGGAAGCGGAGAGGCACAGGGTTCTGAGGTGATGGGTCCAAAACTAAACCACATCTTCAGGCCACAGACGGAACAACCCATGAGTTCCCGGCAGCCAGAAAAAAGCAGCTGTGCCAGCCCCTTCCAGGGCCTGGAGGCCGGGACCCCGCTCCACCCCGGGCCTGAAACCTTTCGAAAGCTCCATTTAGTTAGCGGTGAAGAAACTGAGTGCTGTCACACTCCGCGGCCAGGGCTGCCGCTGATTTCAAGATTTCCACTTTGACCGTGGGCCAGTGTCCAGACTGAACAGGGAGCAGGCCGGGCGGTGGCAAAGTTGTCCTCCGCACTGTGCTGCCCCTTGGCCAGCTGTCCGACCGAGGGAGCGGCCCCCACTACAGAGGGAGAAGCACAGTGGCTACCCGGGGCAGCCCCGAGGCAAACTGCACGACCTGGGCATGGGGACTGCACATGGGCTTTGGAGTCCGCACTCAGGGAGAAGCAGAAGCTGTAACGGAAGAACACAGCCAGCCCCAAAGGTACTCCAGAGAGTGAGGGCGGCTCAGGGCACTGGGAGCAGGTATTTGGCAGTGCTTCTGTCAGTGTGTCGGGAAGGCACAAGCCGTTAGCATCAGATGCACTCCAAGCTGCAGTGAGTTTCCTGGCTGTGGATCTTCTGGCCAGTTTCCTCTCCCGCGTCACAGGGGACAGAGCATGGAGCCCTAGAGCGATAAGGAGGCTCAGACTTTGTATAAAGGGAACCACCTGCAGGCTCTGTCCACGGTATCTTTCTGTCCTGCCAGAGCTAGTTTAGGGGTGTTTGTTATGTTCTTATATATGTGTTTTTTAGAAAAGTGAACGACTAGCCAACAGTATGTTTTATAATAAAACATCAACAACAAAAATGAGCTACACAGTCAAAACCATTTCTATAACATCTGGGTAACAGAACAAGAAAAATTAAGCAAGAACGGTCAATGGTCTGGTCCAGCATTTGAAGAATCCCAAAATACTCCACCAGGACCAAGGAGGCAACATGGATCCTACAGGAGGAAACTGGGTGCCCTGTGGACAGTGGGAACACCCTTGCTCACCTGAGCTCGGACAGTGGCACTTGGGACACCAAGAGGCAAAGAGGAAGTGGCACATGGAAGACACCAGGGCCTGGGATGGCTAGAACAGGCGTGGAGGGCCACATGGCCATCGAGTGACCAGAGGAGCTGCTGGAGGGCCAGAGACAGAGCAAAAGAATGGGACTATGGCCTCGTCTCTTGGGTGGAAGGAGCGAGGCCATTTCTTAGGCAGTGACTTTCTCAGCACCAGCCTTCAGAGCCGACAGACTTTCTTATAAGAGCAGGAATCACATAGGGTAGGGTTTGGCAGATTGTTCTGGAAGAACCAGGCAGTAACTACTGGGTGTTTGAGTCACAGCCTATGTTCCAACTGCTCCACCCTCAGTGAAAGTGACCACAGAGTGGACAGCAAGGCTGGGCCACCACAGGCTGGCCTGGATGTGCCAGGCATGACAGGAGTCATCACAGTCCCTCACTGCTAGTCCTAGCAACCCCTCCACCCTGCAGGGGTCTAAGAAGCCCATCTGGACTCCTCTGTGCGCACAGAGTGCTGCACGGCCTCCCAGAGCTTCTGGGCCAGAGAGAGGACAGGTATACGACCAGCAATAGTGAGTTCGAGGCCAGCCTGAACTGTGGAGCAAATCCCTGTCTCAAAAACAAAAACAAAAAGAAAAAGCAGAGGGCGTAGCCATCTGGGCACCTCTGCGAGGGAGAGGGCTGGCTGTGCAGAGAGGGGCCAGGCACACTGGCCCAGGTGAACCAGGAGCGGGGCGAGGGCCTGAGGCCCCAGGCGGAGGGCGCTGGCCAGCAGATCGCCGTTGCTACAGGGACCGGGCTCCTCCGCTTCCACTGCGCTCACTGGGGCCGGGCCCAGCTCCACAGCCCACCATGGCCCAGCAGCCTCCCCAGCCTGGTCTCTCCGAGCTGCCATTTGTCCATCCCTCACTGGGGTTCTCAGGGTTCCTACGCATCAGCCGAGGTGTGTCCATCCCACACCTCCACTTCCCAGTTCCCTCGGCCTATCCAGTGGCACAGCCATCTGCCAAACTGGTCTTTTTTGTTGTTGTTGTTTTGAGACAGTGTCTTGCTATGTAGTCCTGGCTGGCCTGGAACTCACAGCAATCCTTCTGCCTCAGCCTCTCAAGTGCTGGGATCACAGGCCTGCGCCACCACATCCAGTCAGGAATCTTTTTAAAACAATGCTTAACCCAGGCTTCCTCTTGCACTGGGACACCTGGACAGGAGGCTCCTGCCCACTGCCACACTGACTCAGCCTGGACGTGCAAGGTGTCCCCCTCTCCACCGCAGCCCCTCCTGTCACCCAGTGCTCAACTCTGATGTCACCCCAGAAAACCCTTGGGAGCCTTCCGGACAGGCGTGATGCTCTCACCCCAGGGCCTAGCTGGTGAGCTGTGTGTGGCAGTCTTGGTGGCAGAGGTGTTCCTGCAGACAGGCCCTGCACACTGTGCGCACTCACAGGAAAGAATCGGTGTCAGCAGTCGAGTTAGCAGGCCTGTGAGAAATGAAATCACCCTGCCGAGTCCCAAGAAACTGGACTCCAGAGGCGGCGGCAGCGAGGCTTTACCCCATGCTCCTGCAGGAGTGGAGCGCGTTCACAGGCTCCCCGGAGCTGGAAGCCACGTGGATTTACTCCTAGCTCCCAAGAGTCCCCTCCCCTTCTCCTGGCTGGGATCCTCTTTCCTGATTGGCCCCTTCTTCTCTCCGAATTGTTTTTTTTAATAAATATATATCCTTTTATTGGCCGAATTTTTGTGTGTGGTTATTTATGGCCTTTTGGCTTCTCAGGACCGGAATTCAGTTTCCTGAATTCCTTGTTAAAACTGAATTCCTTATTTAGCAATTGTCTCTTACCCCAGCACCTTATCTCTGGTGTGTCTTTTACAGCCTGCGTGTCCCTCTCTGCTATTTGACCCAGCTAACTCTGTGAATAAGGGCTTCTTAGAGTGCCTAATGAAATACGGACCAATTAAAAATATCTGTATCTCAGGTATTTTTGTGCCATTGGTACTGAGTGTCTTAGTCACTTTCCTTGTCGCTGGGACAAAATATCCAACACTCGCAGTTTAAAGGAGGAGAGGTTTACTTTGGCTCGAGTTTTAGAAGCTTCAGTCCATACATGGCTGGCTGGCTGGCCCTGGACAGCGTGGTGGACAGGCCTGACGGGGAGCGCTGCTCACCTCGTGGCAGCTGAGAAGCAGAGAGCAGGGAGGGGCTGATCTACCTTTCCAGGTCTCGCCCCCAACTCACCTCTTGGGACCAACCCCACCTGCTAACAGCAATGGCCTTCCAAAGCCCTGCCTCCGAGCGCACCAGCCTTGGGGGACACCCGGATCTAAACCACAACACTGGGACCTTCAGTATGCCAGAAGCTCTCGCACACCCAAGCCCTCGGGATGGTTCTCTGTTCCACATGCCTCCGCCTGTGAGGCCAATGGGCCTCATCTCCTCTGAGGATGCCCGCAGTGCCCTGTCCTGTGCCAGGCTCCCTAACCTCGAGCTCACCCCTTCAATTCACTGCTCACACAGCCACCTAAGGGATTATTTTTCTACTATGGAAACCTAATCAAGTATTATAATTCTGTTTAACAGCTGCCTGTGGCTCCTGGCCATTTTCAAAGCAAGGTCCAACCTTCTCAGGAAAGCACACAGAAGCTCCTCTGGACCTCTGCTGGCTCTCAGAAGCCTAAGACTTTCGGATTTTTGTCCCTGGGCATAAGCTACTCTGCCAGAAGTGCCCTTTGCTCTCCTATCAGGGAGCTTCCTTCTCACCAAGTCTTCTGACTCAGCAGGTGCCCTGTCCAGTGGCTTCCATGTGCCAGCCCAGGCAGTGGCACTTGCTGGCTCCCTCCCTAAGACCGATGTGGGCCTGGGCACATGGGGCTCCTGTGGCTCTAGCTTTCTGGCAAGAGACAGGTGTCCCCTTAGGGTTCTGGACGCCATGCAGAGGTGCAGCTCAATAAAATCATTGCCCATGACACAACCCATCCACAGTGAGAGGGAGGCGCATTCCCAGCCAGCTGCACAGACGCTACTGCACTCCGGAGCCGAGGGCAGCAGCCCGGTGCAGTTCCTCTGCTTCTCTGCCATCATGGAACATCCACCTTGGCTTCTGTACAAGCCTCACCAAAGGATGATTTTAAAAGGCCAGAGACCGAGGTTATCAGCTTTAACTATCAACATCACAGATTCAAAGTCTGGACCCAATCTGTCTGCCAGTCAGCAGATGTCCCCAGAAAGCACTGGTTTTCAAGAGGGACCTCACGAAGTTTCTGGAGAGCTACAGGAGAAACCTACAAAGATAGGAGGGACCCACTGCCAGCCAGACTTCCCCAACAGCGCACCCACCCTAAGGGGAGCACACAACAGCCCCAGCGGCCTGCTCACACCGATCCTCCCAGGTTCAAACACCAGTGGGGACGTCAGAAGCACACCTGTCTGAATGGCACTTAAGGATCTCTGGGTTTCAGAAGATGGAAACAATTCTATGAAAGCCACGATCCCCACACATGGAAAACTGCAGGCCCAAAAAGACTTCAGGCAGCAGAGGCCCCATCTGAAAGATACTCCTCACTAGCAAATAACACAGAGACAACCTCAGCCTGCCTGCCACCTGTGGCTTTTAAGATGCTTTGGTGTTAAGATGCTGCCACAGTGTGGCAGGGCATGTAGTGGCTCCAAAACTCAGGAAACCCGACGGAGCTGGGCAGTGGGGTGGGGTGGTGGGTAGCAGTGGTTCACAGCAGAAGGAGTAGGAGGCTCAGAGGCTGGCACTCCCAGGAGGCAAAAGATTATGGGATGAAGCTACAGATTATGACAGGGCCAGAGGCTGCCAGGGCTGGGAGGAGCCCCAGGGCCAGGCACTTCTTAACTGCTGGCATCATGCTTGTTATAGTTTGGGCCTGAACTGTCCCCTAAAAGCTCAAGTGATGGTCCCCAGCGAAGCAGTGTTCGGAGGCCTTTGGGAGGAAACTGAATCGTAAAGGCTCCAATGGATCCAATGGACGAAGCTGCTGATGGATTCTAGGGCTACTGGGAGGTGGTTGGACCTTAGGGGCAGGGCCTAGCTGGAGGAAGTAGGGCACGGGAGGCTGCTCTGCAAGGGGACACAGTCCCCTCTCCCTTCTCTCTGTCTCTGGCCACTGTGAGATGTGCAGCTCTGCTCTGCCACACGCCCTCCGCCATGATGCCTCACTCCAGACCCAAGTGACCATGGACTAAGACCCCTGACACAAGGAGCCAAAGCATTTCCTACTTTAGCACTTTCTCTCAAGAATTCTGTCACGCTGATGGAGAACTAACATAATACTTAAGAGAAAAGGGTTTAAGACAGAGGGTGAGGCCCAGGGTCATCCAAGCAGCTGTCTGGGAGACGAAGAGCACGCCCAGCACCATGCACTTGGCGGGAGGCCCTCACCAGCCCTGTGGTGCCCTTCCCTCTCCAGCAAGCTCATTGCGGCCACCACATCCTGGGTAAGGGGGAGGAGCATGGACCGTCACTCAGAGATATGCTGGGCTGTCGGGTCTGCAGAAGCTGCAGGGGAATGAAGTGCCCTTCTGTTCAGCTGCCTAAAAATGTGGAGCAATTCTTTTTAGAATAAATATTTGATGGGTACTTAACTGAAAAAGCATTGTGTAACCCCAACAAAACACAAACAGTTTCAGATTCTAAAATATAGGAAAAGGACAATTTGTAAAGGCTAAAAGTGGCTCGGTGCTAATGAACAAGAGCTGGGCACATCGACTGGGCAGACGTCCAGAGCAGCGGTTTCCTTCTGCAGCCTCTCTCTGAAGAGTGCAGCTCAGACGCAATGGACTCTCCACTCAGCCGTTAATAAAAAGCCACCCATCTCCAAGGCAGAAGAACCAAAATCTACTTTGCATGAGGAATGCTGCCATTTTGCTGCTGCCCTGAAAACACACATAATGACCTTCACTCAAATATTCTGCGGGACCTGAAGGTAATCAATCAGGTGGTACTTGCTCTGTGCTGGGCTGCGGACTCAGGCCTGCAGCTATTCCTCAAGTGGATACAAGGGAAAAGCATATGAACCTGTGTCTCCAAGCTCTTTTTTCTTTCCTCATGATTGCCCAAGAGTGGCCACAACCCTTTTTAAAAGCTGAGCTGGGTGGGGTGGCTCACAGCTGTAATCCTAGCATTTGGGAGGCTGAGGCAGGAGGTTCACCAAGAGTCCAAGGCCAGCATAGGCTACATTGTGAGTTCAAGCCCAGCCTGGACAACACAGGGAGACTCTGTTTTAAACAAACAAGCAAACAAGAAATTTTAAAAAGTAGCATAAACACAAACAACTTTGGAAAACAATGTTTTGATTATTGTAAGTATAAAATAAAATCTACATATAAATATTATACTCTATAGTTAGTAGGTACATTTCTCATAGGAATATGGATTGGCAATTCTCAAACTACTTTATATATATTCCAGGACAGACTAAAACAATAAAGATGCTGGGAACAATGGGAGCCAGACTGAGAGAGGTGAGGAAAAGGAAGAATGAAAGAGGATTTGGTGACAGAGTAGAAACAGTGTGTAAAGTCATAGCCAGGTACAGATACAGGGACAGGGATGTGCACATGTTGTATGTAAACACACGTTTACCAGCTGTGTTGACTGAGAAAGCCAAGAAGCAATGACATCCTGACAGCAATGAGCCTACCTACTACACGGGCCTTGGTTTCTAAACTGGACAGAGCTGGGGCTCCTTAGAGAAGTGGCTGGTGTCAGGTTTGTGGAGGAGACATACGTGGTGATGCCAGGAAGTGTGGGGGGGTGCTCCAAAAGCCACAGATACCAGCATGAAAGGGACCCCAGTGCCCCAAGCTGGATGACACAGCAACAAAACATAGGATGGTAATGGATTATAATCCATGAAATACAAATAAAAATATCTACTAAAATAAAAAATAAGTAAATAGAAAAACTGAAAAAAGGGAAGTTTCTTTCTTATAGAAGAGTTCCAACTAATAAATGTAGGAATGACGAAAATAGAAAAACCATTCGGCAAATACCACAGTGGTAATTATTTCAGGTCTGAAGCTGCTGGAAGTGGAGAGGAGTGAACACATTTCTCCAATCAGTTACCTCCTCACTCTCTGAGTTCCATTAGGGCAGCATAAGTGCTATCCTCTGCCAGCCTGGGTTCAAGCCCCAGGGCTTCAGTGAAGAGAACCCCAAGAGAAAACTCAGGAATAAAAATGGAGAAAGTGGTTTCTCAGGCTGACATAGCAGAAGCATCTAGCTTCTAAGGAGGGAAAAGAAATCAGAAAAGGGTCTGGGTATGTAGCTCAGTGGTAGAGCACTTGGCTAGCAGGTGCAAGGCCCTGGGTTCAATCCCAGCACTGAAAAACAAACAAAAAGCCCTCAGGGTAGTTAATTAAACCATGGAGTGACCAGAAAATCTGGAGTCTCCTGTAGAAATGGAACTTTCTGAAATGTGAATTTCTCAGAGTGAGAGAGAATTACATAGCTCCAGTGTCTTGAGGCAAAAGACAAAAATGTTTCCAGGCCCGGGGATTTAGCTCAGTGGTTCTGGTGCCTGCCTCAAAAGTGCAAGGTCCCGAGTTCGATCCCAGGTACCCAAAACAAAACAAAAATAAATGTTTCCAGATTCTGATAAATTTGCAGGATTTAGGTTTATGGAGCGAGTGGCCCTACACAGGATCCTGGGATACAGAGGGAGGAACGGGGACCTCCTGCCTCCCCAGGACCAGCCCCAGGCCTGTGCCATCCCTGTTCCCTTGGAGGAGGCTGAAGTCCCCTCCAACCGTGATCTTCCTGGAGGACCCTCAGGCACCCAGGCAGGAGCCAGGAGTGGGAGCGCCCATCCTGCTACCACAGCAGCAGCAGCCAGACCTACTCTCACTCTGATTCAGATATGAGATAAAGACAACGCTAAACTCTGTCTGAAAGGCAAAATAGTGCAACTTAGAAACTCATGATTTCTTCCCTTTCCTGGGCAATGTAATGAAAAAAAAAAGGAAATTAAATGCAAAAATTATTTCAAGAAATACGTATGCTAAAATTAGGAACAGAAAGTATGGCTGCAGGCCGGGGATGTAGCTCAGTGGTGCTGTGCCTGCCTCCCAAGGGCAAGGTCCTGAGTTTGATCCCCAGTACAGGAAAAAAAAGAAAAAAGAAAGTATGGCTATAAGCAGAGTATTTACACAGTCTCCAAGCATGTTCCTAAAAGGTATTCATTGTTCACAAGGGAAAATACTAACTTTATGACAGATACTTAGCAGATGTCACTATGCCACATGACCAAAGTAGTGTCACCAGCAATGGGACAAATTGGCGTCATGTATCTTCTAGGAAGCACTGAAGACACTATTTCCTTTTGGAAGTTGTCTTGCCAAAAATGCATAACTTGAAATTAATCATGGGAAAATACCAGGCAAATCTTAACTATCTCATAAAAGTCAAAGAGGAGCTGGGGGTGCCAGTCTAGGTTGAGGAAGAATAAGAAAACATGAAAGCCAGGCATGATGGTGCATGCCTATAACCCCAGTTACTCGGAAGGCTGAGGCAGGAGGAGCACAATTTCCAGACCAGCCAGGCCGGGCAACTTGAGACCCCGTCTCAAAACAAAATAAAAAGGGCTGGAGGTATAGTATAGCTCAGTGGCGGAGTGCTTGCCTAGCATGCGCGAGACCCTTGGTGCAACCTCTAGTGGAGGGGGGGAAAGGTATGTGCAACACAGGATCCTGGACCACAGTAAAGTCAACCATACGCAACGAAAATCACCGCTACATCTCAGTAAGTCCTGCATAGCAGATCACGGTAAGGATTTCCTCGTTTAGAAAAACCGCGGCTACGTAAGAGGTTAACATTTTGGGGACTCGAGAAAGGCACCGGGAACGTCGCAGGGACTCCTTTCGCAGCCTTCCATAGGTCGCGGACCGATATCTTAAATACCAGATCCGCCGAGCCACTCACCGCTCACGATTCCAGGCCAGGAACCGCCGGGGTCCACCGCGTCCCCAGGTCCCCCGACAGCGAGGAGTCCGATGGGGCCTGAGGGTCTCCAGTCTTCAGAGGAATGGCGACCCGAGCGACCCCACGCGGGCCCACGACACCCCTCGCGCTCCTCCCTCCATTGCCAGCCCTGCTGCTTCCCGGGCCTCGTTGCCATAGCAATCCGAGCCCATCAGCCGCGGTCCGGTTGCACTCTGCCCTGAGCTTAGATTCCGCCGACCAGAAACCAGAGCCCTGACGCCAGGTTCCGGGCTCTGCTCATCCCACGTTTTGCGCACCGGCCTAGAGAAAGGGGGCGGGCACCGGCCACGTGGTCCCCGATGATCCGAGGGTGCCAGCCAGGGCTTGCACACCCCACACCGGTCCCCGGCAACCTGAGTGCGGAGCTCCCCGCGCGAGACACCCCTCCCTTCTCCCCAGGATGTCGCTCTCAGGACCCCAAAGCAAAGCATTGACCTAAGCTGGGATGGTGTGGAGCTCCGGATGGGGGGCGGGGGGCGGCCGGCACTTCGGTAGCATTTGGGGAGGGGTCTGCCCGGGTTGCACGTGGGGCTCTGTGGGTCTCCAGGCTGCTCTGGGGGAGGCCGCAACAGAGGCTGCCCCTGGCAGCCTCAGGCTGCAAAAGGTGAACCTGCACAGCAGGGGCAACTTGGGGCTTTAGCCTCTGTGGAGGGCCTTGGGGGTGCAGGTGGGAGGAGGGGCCGCAGGGAGCCTCCCCAGGGTTCAGCCAGGTGCCCCTGGTGTGGGAGGGATGAGGTGTGTGTCACCCAGGACCTCAGAGTGCTTGGGGCTTGTCTTGCAGAATTAGAGTACTGGAGGAAGGGATGGGGTGGCTTGGGGTCTGAGGAAGAGCCCGCCCCAGGAACTAGTGGCAGGCTCCTTCCTGCCGGTCTTCTGGAATCCTATTCCGTGTCTTCTTCAGAGGTCATCTGTTCTCCTTCACCTAGCCACAGCTGGTAGAGTGGGGCCAGGCCTAGGCAGAGGCCAGTGTTGACCTACACATCTCAGCCAGCACTCCTGCGTGGGCGTGGGTGTCTGGACATCCCCCCAAAGGGCATGATCAGGGCCTGATGTCATCGCCACATTTGCACCTACATCCCACAGCAGCCTGAGCCTGTCCTCCTCACTCCCTGTCCCTGTGTTATAGACAGCCAAATTAGGTAGAAATATTCTAAACAGACAGGGCTAAGCCATTGAGGAAGTCAGTGCAGAACAGGAGAACACATCACAACTGTGGCTGGAGGCGCAACTGTTGGAGGCCAGGCCTCAAGATACAGATGGAATGACCTGGCCGACATGCCTCCCCGAGGGATAAGCAATACACTAAAGATTATACTATAATTGGTATCACCTGATCCAGTAAAGTCTAGATAGACATCAGTCATCGAGGTAGGTGACCAGGTCCTCCCGATCCATCCCTTCCTTAAAAAGTCCTTGTTTTTTCCCCTTACACTTGTTATGTGACCTACTTCCCCACTGGATCAATATCACCTAAATGGCTATATTTGTAATCTTATTGATGGATCATAGTTTTTTTTTTGGTACCAGGGATCGAACTCGAGTCCTTGAGCTTGCGAGGCAGGCGGCAGAACCACTGAGCCGATTGATCATAGTTTTGACCCACGTTGTACCCACCTCAAGATTTTGTGCTATAAAACCTCTGTAAAGTGGGCTGGGGATTTAACTCAGTGGTGTCATGCCTTTCTCTCAAGCCCAAGGTCCTGAGTTCAATCCTCGGTACTGAAAAAAGAACCCAAAAAACAAAAAACACACCTCTGTAAAGTGAGATCCACCGCAACCAACCCACTTTTGGGTCCCTTCCTGTTTCTCAGGAGCTATCTCTCTCAATAAATTTTTTTCTCTCAATAAATTTTTCCTACTCTTAACCTCTGTTGTTCCTTAAAATTCATTCTTTGGAAAAAAAATTCATTCTTTGCTTTTGGAGAACACAAACAGCATATCTGGTATCTAACAGGTTAAGAGTTACATTATCTCCTCTATATGACCTGCTCCCTGCTCTGGAACTCTGGGCCTTTGCCCAGACCCCTCCCGTTCCTGTTCAGCCGGCCTTCTGCTTTCTCGGTGCCTGCCCCTCCTGTAGTCCTTGTAGAACAGCAAACAGGGTCAGCTCCCCCAACACTGCCCGGGTGCAGGGCCTGGGCCAGATGCACCCACAAAAATGCCCACACCCCTGCCTCAGCTCCTGTCCCAGTCACACCTAAGTGCTTCCTGGTGAGGGTGGCATGGGGAGTCTGCCCCTCCAACAGCCACAAAAATGTCAAGGGGCTGTTGTAAGGGGGTCCTGCCTGGGATGGGTGCAGAGAGGAGGCGCACCAGCTGGGCCACCCAGAGGGCAACTGGGGCTTGCTGGTCTGCTCTTGGTGCCTTATGCCTCAATTCCATCTGTAGAGTGGGGATGTATAAGAACCCATGTATTATGGACTGAATTATGTTCCCCCAAAATTCATGTATTTGGAGATGAGGCCTTGAAGGGAGTAATTCTAGTTAAATGAGGCGGCAAGGGTGGGGCCCCATCTGTAGGACCAGTGTCCTTATGAAAGGAAGAGACGCCAGGCATGCACACAGGACGCGAGAAGGGGCCACCTGCAAGCTGAGGAAAGAGACCAAGGAGAAACGAGCCTGCTGGTGTCCTGATCTTGGATCTCCACTGCTAACCTGAAAAGAGGAAGTGCGTGTGTCAAGCCCCAGCCGGAGGCACTGCGTTATGGCAGCCACATCACAGGTAAACACACCTGGAACTGTGTGCCAGGAAACCGCAGCATCACAGTGGCTGTGGTCATTCCTGCAGCCGAGACATGTGCCCGGTGCCCCAGGAAGAGGAAGGAGCACAGGGGCACCGGCCAGGCCCAGAAGCTGTGGTGCCCCTCAGCCTGAGTTCCGATCCCAGTGCCCTTAGCTGGGGGCGATCTGGTGCAGAGAAAGGCTGTGCCTCCCAACAGGCACCCCCTGCACCCCAAGATCCCCTCCTACACCAGCGGGAGAGTGCTGTCCAGGGATACCATGTCCCTGCCCGGCAACACCTCTTCGGGCAGAGACTGTCCCTGAGCCCTTGACACCCGGGACGAAGGGGGCCACTTCCCTGAGCCCTGCTGCACCCCCACATTGCCCTCCCCGGCCCAGCACTAACTGGGCAGCCCAAGGAGGCCAGCACCTGAAGGCGCACGATGAAAGGGCCCCGGGCTGCCCTGAAGAATAACTCAAGCTCATGCTTAAACAACAGCTATCTGGGCTGGGGATTTAGCTCAGTGGGTCCGGCGCCTGCCTGGAAAACGCAAGGTTCCGAGTTCGATCCCCGGTACCAAAAAAAAAACCAACAAAAAAACCCCAACAGCTATCTATTCTCTCGCCGTTCTGCAGAAATCAAGATGCTGGGCAGGTGCACCCTGCAGGGGTCCAGGGAGGATCCTCCTCACCTCCCCAGCCTCCTGGTTATGGCGTCAATCCAACTCTGCTCTTCTCAGTGTTTCTCTTCAGGTTCGCTCCGCTCAGGATACCAGTCCCATCGGATCAGGGCCCACTCTGCACCAGTGTGATTATATCTGCAGTGGCCAACTAGTTCTGTCAGGTCATTCTGAGGTGCAGGGGCCCAAGACTTGAGTCAGGGCTTGGGGAGGGGCACCGTGCAACCCACACCCACTCCTGCCCCTGGGCTGCCCTGCAGTCCTCACTGTCACAGGCAGAACAGCACAGGCTGAGGGACTCCAACGTGGCCCAGTGCGCGGCACAGCTGGGCCTGACCCTCCACGTGTGCCTGAGCACAGCCGGGCAGAAGCAGGGCAGCTGGTCTGGATGGGGTGGGTGGTTCTGCCACCAGTGGCCCATCCGGCCCAGTGCAGATGCCAGCACACATACGAGGGGCAGGAGCCTCAGTTCCAGGGCAGAGTAAACAAGGAAGGGTGAGAGAAAGGCCAAAGTGCGAGGCTTGGGCTGTGGCCAGAATACAGGCTGACCTGGTGGCCTCTTACTGACCACTGGGTGGGCAGCCTGGGCTGGCAGCTGCACCTGCCTCCCCGCAGGAGTGTGCCCTGGAGCATGGGCAGTACCGGGAGCTGCCCAAGGAGGACTGGCTGCAGCTGCCTATGACTCAAGGTCCTCCCTCTGATATTTTAGCCATAGGGCCGACCTCACTGTGGGAGTCCCCCAAATGTTGCCTTTGGTCTCCAGGTCTCACCAGGGGTCCCAAAGCACAGGAATCTGAACAGAAGCTTGGCGGGGCCGCCTGGCCACCAACCTGCCTGGGCCGGGGCAAGTCACTTCCCCTCGAACGTGGGGACGCCTGTCAGGCCTCGGGCACTTCTCCATCTGCCCCACGCCTGGCCCTGGGGCGGAAGGTGAGCTGAGAAGTGAAAGACCCTCTGTAAGGCTGGCTGCCACCCACTCCCTGAGGCCTATCTGAGGCCACCCAGGAAGGAAGCCGGGGTGGGACCTGGGCAAAGGGAGACAGAGGCAGGACAGTGATGTCAACCCGGAGTGAGTGCCCCAGGCGATGATGTCACCTGTACGGATGGGAGAGAGGTGCAGGAGGTCAGGTGGGGCTGGATGGCCACTGAGTGGTCCTGTGAACAGGCCATCAGGACTGGTCGGGTTGGCCGGGGGTGGAGGGGTCGCAGGCTGTGGCTCTAGTTGAAAGGACAGAAACCAGGGAGGACAGGTGGACTGGTCTTCTCCAGAGGAAGCCAGCGAGCACGCCAGCTTCAGGTGCTCCTGGGAGGTCAGGAGGAGGCTCAGCAGGGGACAGACACGCAGGGCTGGGTGCCCCGGGAGGCAGTGCCCTGGGGCCTCTCAGTCCTGTGTCCAGCTTCCTCCGCTGTCCCGTCTACGGCACAGGTGGCAGCCTGGGAGCAGCAAGTGATTTGAGGGGACCATGGGAAAGGCACCATTTTCACGCTGTTTAAAACATTTTTTTTGAAAAAATAAAATTTCATAGTCTAATAAGAGAATAACAATAGTTATTACCCTCTGTAAAATAGTCTAACAAAAAAGAAACAGATAATAATACAAACTCTTTTCAAAAAACTGAGATAAACCAGTAGTATAAATAAAACCAATTAGCATATATATTGAAAAAAAATTTTTTTTTTGTACTGGAGATCGAACTCGGGTCCTTGTGCTTGCACAGCAGGTGGTGAAACCACTGAGCTAAATCCCTGGCCCCATACTGAAATATTTTTAAAACAATGGAATTGGTAGTTTGGCGAACGTATTCTCACCATAGCCAGGGCCTCTGGAGACCACGAGAGCCCCTGCTCTTGGAGTAAAAAATGA